GGATGCTCATACACATAATGCAGGTGGGCATGGCCACAGGATTTTTTACCTACCTTGCATTAGATGTCCTTTTTCAGCTTGGTAATACTATGTTAACACTAAGAGTTATAGTTCAATTAATGATCAGCTTCATAAACATCTACAAAAACATGCAAATAAAACATTTTAATCACCAATTGATATCTTATGGCATGTATGGCAAAGAAACATTGTCCTTACATCACTTTTTCTGTGTCATGTACCATGCAGGATTATGAAAAAGGATTTTTGAAGGAAAGTGCCAGTGGTACTCATAAATTTTTGCCATCAAAAGTCCAACAGTCATGACAGTGAGAAGGAGAAATTTTTTCAATTTTGAATTCTTAATTAGGTTTTCATGACAAAGGAGAGATAGAAAAGAACATCACATCAAAAGTAATTTAATTTTTTTGTCATAAAATGATGATTTGTTAATTTTGATCTTTTGTTGTAATGTAATACACATAGCATTTTCATGCTGAAATTAGCAATTTTTCCAACTTCAAAAATTTAATTTAACCATAACATTGCCATACAAATGTATATATTTCATTTATGTTTCAGTTGCAATGTACTGCCAACACTGTGGGGAAAATCTTCCCAATACTGCACACTTTTGCACAGAATGTGGCAAGTCAGTCACATCATCATCAGGTAAGAGATATTTACACATGTGTTTAATTAGTGCATGTGCACTTCACAAAGTGATAATTTAACATTTATAATTCCCTTAAAATCACATTATGAAATTGTTTTTTTAATTGGAACAGACAGAATATATACATGAATAAAACATTTAGGGTTTCTTAAATCTTTCATTACACGACAAAACTAGATGTTCTTAAGAGCCTGAATTGCTCACCTGGCTTTAATTGGTTTATTTGAACATATAAAAAGACATTTGTATGTATTTTCCATGAATGGAAATGTGGAATGTGTCAAAGAGACAACAACCCGACCATAAAGCAGACAACAGCCGAAGGCCACCAATGGGTCTATTATCTTATGTTTAAAAAAAAAAATTATAATCGCTCGCCTTTACTTTTCAAGCTTCGCCTCAAAAATTTGCAAATTAAATATTTTTTTATAAAAATTTTCAAATTGCTCACTCGCCCCAATTTTTGGAGTCCAAAAATCCGTAGAACAAGAAATTAAATTGGTGTGGCCTAACTGTATTGTTTGGTATTATTCAACCTGTTATTGTATAAATAAATTTGTATTATTTAGATGTTATTTATAAGTTAACTAAATATTTATTCAAATGTATTTCTTGCAGAATCTGAAAGCTTAAAAATGTCAACAGAATTATCCTCAGGTTTGTAGACTTATGATGAAGTGTGCTAGAATTTCTTATTAAGCATGTGCAAAATGTGAAATGAATTATCTTTGAAATAATATAGGCATATACAGACATTTTGTTCAAGTCTTCCAAAAATGAGTATATTTCATACATGTTTGTAAGTTTGTTATAGACTTTCGAAAGGAACTGATTGAACTTAAAAAAATAAACAAACTCTGGGCGAAAAAAAAAATGCTGGATGAGCCTTGCAAAGAAATAATAGGCAAGATTGAATTGATATTCCCAACAGACTTTTTCTATGTGACATTTAATCTGAATTGATGAAAGTTACAGACACTTGTTTAAATATTAAGGAGGTTTGCTGCTATAAAATTCTTAAAATAACTTATATCAGTTTTGTTTTCAAAATTTATTATTTTACAAAGATATAAGAAGATGTGGTATGAGTGCCAATGAGACAACTCTCCATCCAAGTCATGATTTGTAAAAGACAACAATTTCAGGTCAAAGTAGGGTACATGTACACATATTTTGTACCTAAATGTAAGTATGATTTGTAATGATTTATTACAAATCACTCAGACACACATATAAATGTGTAACATGAGGTCAAAAATATAATACAATATATGCAAATAACATGACAGAAGAATATTTAAACATATTAAAGTCAATACATAGCTCTTCAGAATCCAACAGTGTGAATGATTATGAAAAAAGATATACAACATATATATATATATAGATGGATATGACATAAATCAAAGATATATATTAACTTTTCTGATGAACAAGGGTAGCTTTTTATATAGTTCAGTATTACAATAAGACAGTAAACCTTCAAACTTGATGATGCTTGGATGAGCTGTGTAGCACATAGGTATGTACTTGTTTCTTAATGACACAATTTTTTCATTTTTACATATCAGCAAAATATGGAATTCATCTTCATTACCATTTTGATAGGAGGCATTTGTATAGCAGCTCTTTATTTATCATTTGTACACAAGTTACATTTTCTTTCCTCCCTTGGGATATTGTACTTGTAGATTCATAATATGACATAAAATTAGGGGTCATTCATTTAATTGCATGAAAAGCAATCATGAATAGTGATTTTAACTGCTTTTCTGTGGTAATTCAAGGCAAATTTGGTTTTTAGATCTTTGTTTTTGAACTTAGATTTGTCAAATTACATTAAGTTTCGATCTACTGTATACGAACAGATTAGAAATATTATAAATCATAAATGATTTTGAAAATTTAACCCAGCGAAACTACTTCAGAGGGAACTTTTTGGTCTTTCTTTATAAACCAAACAAAAAATCAGAAATCATTTGGACAGGATATAGATTTATTTTCTTTTTGTAGATGGTAGAAGAAGTCTTGACGCTTTAAGGAAAAGATTTCTCAATAGCAAGTCTGAAGCTTCTCCACCCAAAAAAAGCTGTGTGAAGCCAGCTTTAAAAAAGAAAGAGAAAACAGAGGTAAAATATTTTTGTGGTTTAGTATTTGATCACTTATTATGCATCACCTATGACAGTAGAGGTGCATTATGTTTTCTGGTCTGTGTGTCCCTCTTTGTATCCTTTTGTCAGTTTTTTCTGTCTGGTATCAGGTTAAAGTCCTTTTTTATGAAGTTCTAGTAACAGCTTCTTGAAACTTAGTATACCAGCTCTATAATTAGTCAAACCACAAGATCTGATCATATTCACCTAGCCTGTTTCAACCTATTCAATTATTATAAAATGTCTAATAGCAATATATCAAACATCTCCTTAATAACTTCATAACAGGAAATGCCAGTTTGGCTTAAGATCAATTGAAGGTTTCTGCATGCCTGATATAATTTAGAAAAATAAACTTTTTCCAATAAGCTCAGCAACACATTTTTCTGACAAGTTGAACAACACAATCACAAAAACAAATATACTTAGATAAATTCATAATCCACTTCAGTATCTTTCAAACCTGGGCCAGCACCTTTTTATCTTATTTTTTTATTATAATTAGTATTTTTCTACTGGATTTTGACAATGATATGAATAATACCTAATGCAAATCTATTTTTATACGACCGCAAAATTTTCGGTCGTATATTGGTATGATGTTTCGTCGTCATCATCGTCCTAAGACACATTGGTTTTTTACACAATATCTTTAGTTTAAGTGAATGAATCTTTATGAAATTTTACCATAAGGTTCAATACAACAAAAGGAAGGTTGGGATTGATTTTGGGGGTTATGGTACCAACAGTTAAGGAATTAGGGGCCAAAAAAAAGCATTTTTGTAACTTCCAGACAATAACTAGTGTGTTAGTGTATGGATCTCTCTGATATTGTACCACAAGATTCCATATCACAAAAGGAATGTTGGGATTGATTTTGGGGGTAATTGCCTCAAAATTTTAGGAATTGGGGGCCAAAAAAAGGGACAAAAAACAAGCATTTTTCTAGTTTCTTGACAATAACTTGCGTGTAAGTGTATGGATCTTTATGAAATTGTACTACAAGGTTCCATATCACAAAGGGAAAGCTGGAATTGAGTTTGGGGGTAATTGCCCAAAACGTTTAGGAAAAAGGGGCCAAAAATAAGCATTTTTCTAGTTTCCAGACAATAACTTGTGGTCAAGTGTATGGATCTCTCTGAAATTGTATTGCAAGGTACCATAACACAAAGGGAAGGCTGGGATTGAGTTTGGGGGTGCTGAATCATAAGGGGGTTCAAAAAATTTTGGGGTGGGGGGATGGATTTTTTTTGGTCCAAAATTAAACTTAGTTTGATTTTAACAAAAATTGAATTCTTGGGGTTCTTTGATATGCCAAATCTAACCGTGTATTTATATTTTTAATATTGGGTCCTGTTTTTTAAATTGGTCTACATTAAGGTCCAAAGGGTCCAAAATTTAACTTAGTTTGATTTTAACAAAAATTGAATTCATGGGGTTCTTTGATATGCTGAATCTAAACATGTGTTTAGATTTTAGATTATGGGCCCAGTTTTCAAGTGTGTCCAAATTGGGGTCAAAAATTAAACTTTGTTTGATTTAAAAAAAAAATAAATATATGGGGTCCTTTGATATGCTGAATCTAACCATGTATTTAGATTTTTGATTTTTGGGCCCCGTTATCAAATTGGTACACATTGAGAACAAAAGGGTCCAAAATTAAAGTTTGTTTGATTTTATCAAAAATTGAATTCTTTGGATTCTTTGATATGCTGAATCTAACCATGTATTTAGATTTTGGATATTGGTCCATAATCGGTAAATTAAATTTTTTTAAGTTCTTAGACCACATTCATTCTGTGTCAGAAACCTATGCTGTGTCAAATATTTAATCACAATCCAAATTCAGAGCTGTATCAAGCTTGAATGTTGTGTCCATACTTGCCCCAACTGTTCAGGGTTCAACCTCTGCTGTCATATCAAGCTGCGCCCAGCGGAGCATTTTATTCATTATTAGATATATATCAGCAGGGTCATTTTTATACAGTCATCTATTATGTTATGAAGTAAAGTCCTAAACATTATCGTAATTTAACATAAATGAAATGATTTGTATCTGATATAAAATCCTTATTGCATTTCCAAATCTTACAAATGTTCTCCTAGGGAATACTCCTAAAACAAACTTTGCATGAAAGCATCTTTCATTTTTTTCTTACTTAATTTTATAGGATATACAAGTGCATTTACAAGTTCAAATTTTGGACAGGCATGACATAGCAGTTAAGAGGGTTTTCCCTACTTCAGAAGATATCTTATCAGGCAAGATATCTATTACAGTGCCGATCAAGTCAACTGGTGTCTACTGGATAAACAAAGTTCAGGAATATTTTCATGGAAATTATAATTTACAGCTTATGAGAGTTTGTTCTTTTGGTTATAGTGTGGTTGAAAACCCAGAAGATTACAATATTGCTAATTTGAAGTGTGAGATGAAAAAGTTAAAGAAGAAGGCCAGTGATTTGCAAGCATATGTTAAATTTGTAGACAAAGGTAAATGATGTTGTAATTCTGCTCGATTTTTTGAAAACTAAAAAGAAAGAATTTAAATGAATAACCCATCAAATATCAGCAATGTCAAAATATTTGCACGACCCCCTTTGGTAGTTATTGCCCTCACTTGGGATTAAAAACCAGAAATTGTCAGCTGGATAACATTACAAAATTTTAATTAACTGTACTGTTAAATACGGATATGTCTTGTTATTGTCAATAATGATTAATTTTATCAATTTGTTTCAATTTTTGTACACCTGTCTTAAATGAAATGATTAAAATTTTTATATACTTGTGTGTCAAAGTGTTGCTTACAAGGATTTGAAAACTTTGCATAATGATATCTGTTCAAAAGACTTTCATGGATCCTCATGTTTTTGTTACATTGATCATGTTGATACACACCTTCAAATTTTGAAGGCTTAAGTTTCTTTTGCAAATGTAATAATAACTGGATCAGAAAGTAGAATGGAGTGTAGTCAGAGCCTAGTAAGCAAAGCGTAGACACAGGATTTGAATTTAACTCACATTGTGTCCTTCATTAATAAAATTTGATGAACCAATTCAAAGGAACATGTAATTCTTTAAATTTATAATATATAATTGACCTCAGAAAGGTCCCTTTGTTTGATAACTTCAAATTTTGACATTCTCGAGGTACAGTTCACTATTAGTTGAGAATTATCATAAATGTGTGTACCATAACCATCATCAATCAATTTGAATTGATCTTTTATGAAATTGTAACACACATGTCAGATTGATTAAAGAATTAAAGCTTCCTTTTCATTTTGATGATTTTATGTCAATTGCCATGCTTAAATCATTAAAATTTCATCATTTTGTTTAATGTAGAACCATAGTTTTAATTTGCTTTTATTAATTTTATTGAAATTTAGTTGCAACACTCAGATTAATAGCAAAAAGCTACATTTCAATTCAGATGAATTTCAATAGTGTCATTTACTAATTGATGTCGAGTTGTGGGACTTTATTTAAGCAAAATATAATTTGCTATTTGCACAGCTCTGTATTGCTTTGTGTCATTATCTTGGATACTACGACAGATGGAGAGAGATTGCTACATTCTTTAATTTTTAGCATGGTTATTTATACATTTAAATTCAAAAGTCAAAAATTAACGTTTAGTCATATGAACATGTTGAAGCGTTATGTACTAATGAAGTCTTTGTGTTTTTCACCATTTTCATGGTTGGCAAAACAATTATAAAAGATACAATATAACAAGTAACTGAGTGTTCACTGTCACTTGTGTAAGAATATGAGCAATTCCAGATTTGATTAAAAAAATTAAAAAGTTTATGACCATGATGACCTGTTGCAGGAATCAGAAGTTCAGTCCATATATGGAACATAAAATTTATATTTTAGAAACCTTTAATTCAACTTTTTGTATTATTTTGCTTTTTTTAAATCAGTTGTTGTAACTTGAAGTTATTACTTGAAGCATATTACTTTACATCACTTTATATGTTCTTGTGATTAGTGGGATTTTAGAATTCATTTGATTTTATTTTTCTCTCCCAGAACGCTCACAACTTAAGAAGATAGTTACATGTAATCAGTCACAGGCAGGACAGGTGCTTTTCTCTTACTAAGAATAAATTTGTTTTGTTTTTGTTTTTGTTTTGTTTTGTTTCTTTTAATTAAAGGATATTCAGATATTCCAGTTATCAATTTTAATGGTTAATAATATATTTAATTATAGCCTTTATGTGCCAAAATAATTTACATCTGTTCTTTTTTTTACTATTCACTGGAATTTCCTTAACTTCCTTCAAAAAAATATTTTCTTCTGTTTGGTAAATGCATTTGTTTGTTAACTTAACATTTTCAGGGCAAAGAGACAAATTAGAATTGACTGTTTGTTTTACCAAACTATAACATAAAACCTCTCTTAACAAATCATAGAAGATATTATACTTAAATACACTTTTGTTTTTTTTAAATTCCATATGTAATATTATATTTATTAACATTTCCTTTAATGGTCATTACCATTTTTCAGTGAGTTTAAAAAAGATATGATAGGTAATTTGTGAAAATGATAGGGATAGAACAATCAACATTGTGTACTATTTTTATATATAATTTATATTAAACTAGACTGTTACCTACTTGATAAAGAAATGTAAAAATAAAAAGGCTAACAATGTATATGTGTAAGAATTCACTAAGCGAGGATTTTATCATTTTTTTGTGTCAACAGTCTGCTTGTAGCTTTAAAATCATTGTTCTTCTGTTGAAATTTATCGAATCAATTTTATTTTGTAAAAGTAAACATTAAAAACTGTCTTCAATTATATTTCAAATGTTCATACCAGCTGATTTTTTGGAACAAAAAGCATAACCTTGCATACACCTGCTTACTTTGCCTGTTGTGTTCTTGGTTATCTATATAACCAAGTCAATTTTTTCTGTGTCAAAATGTTGATTAAATTTTGTGTTTTTTTTATCATCAGATTCACATGACTGTAACTTAATTCACTTATCATAATTTTAGGAAAGATCATGTGTCAAAAAAGATAAAGATCATGTTACCAGGGTAACAGAATCAAGGACAACTTCAACTACTGCTGTCCAGGTACTACATGTATATGGTGGTATTTTTTTCCTAGTTTTCCAATCAAAGGTCGTGGTTTTCTACAGGCACTCAAGCTCGTGTATATTAACCAGAGGATGTCTCATAATATATGAACAACTTCCTCAAAGTCAAAAACTTTCACAGCGTAGCCCACAGAGATTGTTCCCATCTAAATGATATCTAGTTCTATTTGCTTTGAATGTAATTGTGAAGAAATTCTCAACATTTGAAATATACTGTTGGATATGCCCTGAAGCACAAATCATATCAAAAGTTTGGTTTATAGACAGATTATATAGTTATTGAAATACTGATTAATTGTATGATTAAAATATAGAGAAATATTTGATGCTCAGTAGTTAGGCTTCTTGATTTATTGGCAAACGGCATTTAAAGTTATTTCTGTGTAATTTCTAACAAACCTTATGATTGATGAGCATGATGAGTTCACTGTTATTATTGTAGGATAAATCTATTGAGATGAAAATAAGAAAAGAAGACGGAGCCATCAAAACAGTTGCATTTCAGGTAAATAAGTGTCTCTTTGGAGATTCTACCTATATTTTCCCATTATACCATATGGATTATTTTACTTTCTTATTTCACACAAGAACTTTTTAAATAATTTTTACATGTAGTAATAGCTGTGTTTTTCTCAATTAAACATTAGCTTTACTTTTATTTATTTTTTCACACTTTCAAACTGTTACCATTTTTTGGGGATTTCCCCCTTGAAAGCTCAAAATTAAATTTTAGAAAGAGCAATTTTGTCCAACATTAAAAACAAAACATTCAGTTAACAACAGCTATATAGGTTTGAAAAAGTATAAAAAGCCAACTTACAACATTAGAATGAATTGTATGCCCCCTTTATGGTTTTGTGGAGAACGCAACTTTTGTCGCAGAAAGCTTGACATATGGATAGTGATCCTGCTTCAGCATTAGCTAACTTCTTAAGGTGTAAATGCCCAACTGACAAATTTCACCTGACCTTGACCTCATTTTCATTGTTCAATGGTTTTTATACTACTGCAAAAAATGTTTGCGGTCGTATATTGGTATGACGTTGGCGTCGTCGTTGTTGTTGTTGTCGTCCAAAGACACATCGGTTTTCGCACAATAACTTTAGTTTAAGTAAATGGATCTCTATGAAATTTTACCATAAGGTTCAATACCACAAAAGGAAGGTTTGAATTGATTTTGGGGGTTATGGTACCAACAGTTAAGGAATTAGGGGTCAAAAATAAGTATTTTTGTAACTTCCAGACAATAACTTGTGTTTAAGTGTAGGAATCTCTCTGAAATTGTACCACAAGTTTCCATACCACAAAGGATTGGCTTTTGGGGGTTATGGTTCAAACTGTTTAGGAATTAGGGGCCAAAAAAGGGGGGAAAACAAGGGTTTTCCTGGTTAATGGACAATTTAAAGCAGTGTAAGGGAGGTAATCCAAAAACAAAATTGTACAATGTTGTACAATTTTGGATTACCTCCCTTACACTGCTTTTAAATTATCTATTTCAGACTTTTATGATGTATTTAAATGGGTAATTATGGTTGCAAACTCCATTGGTAATTTGAATTGAGATTATGACCATATCTTGAGGGAATGAATTTTTTTTTTTTTAAAGGGGGGGGGGGGGGGGGGGGGGGGGGGTTAAAAAAGAAATTGTGGGGTGGCAATTTTTTCTCATTTCAGATTTCAGAAATTAAACAAAATTTCTTCTTTTATTTACTTTCACATATAAAAAAGGAGGGATTTTTTGGAGTGGGGGAAGGGGGGTCAATACACAACAGCATAGTGTATTGCACAAAAGCAAAAAAAAAAATGGGTTAATTTTTATTAATTTTTTTTTGGGGGGGGGTGGGGGGGGGGAGGGGGTCAATTCACACTTAGAATTGGTTATATGATTTGAATTTATATTCAGTTTTTTGCTTTTGTGCCTACAGTGTATTGCACAAAAGCAAAAAATTGAATATAAATTCAAATCATATAACCAATTCTAAGTTCTTTGACTACAGTTATTCTGTGTTAGAAACCTATTATGTGTCAAATATTTAATTACAATCCAAATTAAGGCCTGTATCAAGCCTGAATATTGTGTCCATTTTTGACCCAACTGTTCAGGGTTGGACCTCTGCAGCCGTATCCAGCTGCACTGGCGAAGCAATTTATTAGTTAAGTTGTTCGTGTTTTTGTTTATTTTTCAAATACTGTTTGCAATAGGTCTACTATATTTGGTGTATGAAAATATTTTATGATGTACATGTCAGTCAGGCATATTTTATTTGACCTTGACCTGATTTTTACAGTTCATTCATTGCTCGGTGTTAAGTTTTTATTTTTATGCCCCACCTACAATAGTAGAGGGGCATTATGTTTTCTGGTCTGCGCGTCCATTCGTCTGTTCATTCGTCGGTCTGTCCCGCTTCAGGTTAAAGTTTTTGGTCAAGGCAGTTTTTGATGAAATTGAAGTCCAATCAACTTAAAACTTAGTACACATGTTCACTATGATATGATCTTTCTAATTTTAATGCCAAATAATAGTTTTTTCCCCATTTCCACAGTCCACTGAACATTGAAAATGATAATGCAAGTGGGGCATCCGTGTACTATGGACACATTTTTGTTTCATATACTTTAAGCAATAGGTCAACTATATTTGGAATGATTGTAAGGTATACATGTCTGCCTGGCAGGATTCATCTGACCTTGACCTCATTTTCATGGTTCATTGATTAATGTTAAGTTTTCATTGTTAAGTTTAATCTTAGATATGCAAAAGGACAACTATATGTAATTTAAAGAATATTTGGTGTAAGGAATGATTGTAAGGTGTACATGTTTTCCAGTTTTATCTGACCTTTGACCTCATTTTATTTGATTAGGTTAAGTTTATGTGATAGTTGTAGTACAGTTTATATTTAGAACTATTAACATAATATCAATGGTTAGTTGAGAAAGCAGGACATTTCAGCGTATGCACTCTTATTGTAGGATTATAAGAGACATGCATATTGCTCATATAACCACTACTGTAAATTCAGAAATTATTGCGTGCATTTATTATTGCGATTTTTGTAGAATGGACAAAAATGCGAGATTAATTATTGCGAGTTGTACAAAAACTGCACACATTTATATCTGTCAGATATCAGAATGCGAGTTCTTATTTTCTTAGCATTTTCGGGAGGAAACAATTAAATATTTGGTCTTGATTTAGCAAAGGTTGAAATAAAAGTACTTGTATTTTTTATACGACCGCAAACAAATTTTTGTGGTCGAATATTGGTATTACGTTGGCGTTGTCGTCCTCGTCCGAAGACACATTAGTTTTCGCACTCTAACTTTAGTTTAAGTGAATGGATCTCAATGAAATTTTACCATAAGGTTCAATACCACAAAAGGAAGGTGGGGATTGATTTTGGGGGTTATTGTACCAACAGTTAAGGAATTAGGGGCCAAAAAGGGGCCAAAAATAAGCATTTTTGTAACTTCCAGACAATAACTTGTGTGTAAGTGTATGGATCCCTCTGACATTGTACCACAAGGTTCTATATCACAAAGGGAATGCTGGGATTGATTTTGGGGGTATTTGCCTCCAAATTTTAGGAATTAGGGGCCAAAAAGGGGCAAAAAACAAGCATTTTTCTAGTTTCATGACAATAACTTGTGTGTAAGTGTATGAATCTCTCTAACATTGTATCACAAGGTTCCATATCACAAAGGGAATGCTGGGATTGATTTTGGGGGTAATTGCCACAAAATTTTAGGAATTGGGGGCCAAAAAAAGGGACAAAAAACAAGCATTTTTCTAGTTTCTTGACAATAACTTGCGTGTAAGTGTATGGATCTTTATGAAATTGTACTACAAGGTTCCATATCACAAAGGGAAAGCTGGAATTGAGTTTGGGGGTATTTGCCCTAAACGTTTAGGAATTTGGGGCCAAAAAGGGGCAAAAAATAAGCATTTTTCTAGTTTCCAGACAATAACTTGTGTTCAAGTGTATGGATCTCTCTGAAATTGTACTGCAAGGTACCATACCACAAAGGAAAGGCTGGGATTGATTTTGGGGGTAATTCCTTCAAAATTTTAGTAATTAGGGGCCATAAAAGGGCAAAAAAACAAGCATTTTTTCTAGTTTCAGGACAATAACTTGTGTGTAAGTGTATGGATCTTTATGAAATTGTACTGTAAGGTTCCATATCACAAAGGGAAAGCTTGGTTTAAGTTTTGGGGTAATTGCCCTAAACGCTTAGGAATTTGGGGCTAGAAAGGGGCCAAAAAACAAGCATTTTTCTAGTTTCCAGACAATAACTTGTGTTCAAGTGAATGGATCTCTCTGAAATTGTACTGCAAGGTACCATACCACAAAGGGAAAGCTGGGATTGAGTTTGGGGGTGATGAATCATAAGAGGGTTCAAAAAATTGGGGGGGGGAGATTTTTTTTTCATTTTTTTTCTTTAAAATTTTCCATTTTAAATTGGTTATTTCTGATTTATATATAAAAGCAAATAATAATGATATGGTTTGAATAGGTAAATAAAAAATTTTTAAGTTCTTAGACCACTTTCATTCTGTGTCAGAAACCTATGCTGTGTCAAATATTTAATTACAATCCAAATTCAGTGCTGTATCAAGCTTGAATGTTGTGTCCATACTTGCCCCAACTGTTCAGGGTTTCGACCTCTGCGGTCATATCAAGCTGCGCCCCAGCGGAGCATTTTATTAAATTTAAACTTCTTGTTTTCTGATAGGTTGACTAAAATTTTACACCAGAATATTACTCAATCTTTGAAAGGGAACAAAATACATAATGCCCCTAGGTGAGTCCAGGGACTATACTACCGTACTAGGGGCATTACTTTTTTGGTCTGTGGGTCTATCCATTCATCTGTATGTCCTGCTTCAGGTTAAAGTTTTTGGTCAAGGTAGTTTTTGATGAAGTTTAAGTCCAATCATCTTGAAACTTTGCACACATTTTAATGCAAAATTAGAGGTTTGAACCAATTTTCACGGTCGACTGAACATAGAAAATGATGATGCAAGAGGGGCATCGTACTATGGACCCATTCTTGTTATATCTCTTATAATTTACCAGGCTGAATATGAAGGTTTATCATCAGATGAAGATACTACACTCCAACTTACTAGTCAGGCAGGTGGAGGCAAAGAAGATAAAGTTTTAATTTTGGTTGAAAGATTGTCAATGTATGAGGCAGGAGTTCAGAGTGCTAAGTCAGCAGGTGATACCTCTAAACAGAAAAGATATGGTAGAGCCCTTAAGGTACATTATGTATTTTTAGATGAAATGACTGACAAGACCTTCTTTTTATCTTCATGAATTGTCTTATGAAATATATTGACATTTACTGAACTGGTATTGCTTCTTATTTTGGGTTATTTTTGTAGAAAAAACTAAATATAAAGAAAAAACCATTACACAGGTATTGAAATACTGTTATACCCTTATCTATCTGTCTGCTGCATTTTTGTTCATCAGTCAGTGTGTCTTATTAAATGTCATCACATTTTTCGCAGGAACTAACTATCAAGGCTTTCTCCAATCTGGGAATCAAGGTTCATATGAGCGAGTTAATCTGTGTGCTACAGGTTCAAATTCATCACTTAACAACTTCTGGTTTAAAGTCATATGAAACGAGTGACCGGTAAAAAAAATCCAATTCTTGAACCAATGCATACATATATCATGAACTTGTCTTCTGTGCATGATTTTATCATTTTTTTCACATACATTTCGTAAAATCGTCAAAAATATTTCAATGTATAAGTGTTGTTGTAAAAATATGGCAGCTAATTAATGGTCGTGTTTTGAAGCCGAAGTTTAACGATTGACACCTATTTGTAAACAATCAACAAAGAAGCACGGATATTCAGGTAAGCACGTGTATAACAGGTACAATAAGATATGGTTTATCTTGATGACGGAGCGATGTTTACGTTTCATTTTCCATTCACACTTGTGTATTGCGATCACAGGATTTTTTACATAAAGTCCTGCTGAGGTAACTGCATACGCAAAACATGTCTTAGAATAGTTTGCTGGAAGCAAGCAATTAAACAAAGTAAACCTTCTAAATTTTGACAAATTAGAGAAATTTCTTGAGAAAAAGGTATATGTACATAAGTTTTATAATAATTGCTAGCCATTTAGTAATAAAAAACACTAGAACACACCCGCAAAATCGCGGGCATTTATATTTTAGAGCATATGTAAATTTTTGCAGGATAATTTTTTATAAAATAATTTATAACTGGTCAATTTCAGGAAAGGTATCAAAAGTCATAGGTACTTGGGGACAGGACAATTTTTTTTTTGCCCTCCCCCTTTTTTCCAAAGATCGATTTTTTTTTTGGGGTTTTCTGTTTTTTCTGTATACTATGAACATACATATACTATAAATACTATCATGAAACGGTCAGTGATATATTTTATCATATACATATATAATAGCTTATCTATGATTATATAGAGACTCTCTATATAATATATCAGTGACCGCCATAGATAGTAAACTATTGGAATTGATAATATATAGCAAATGCACTTTATTTGTAGTACATGTATATGTATGATCATAGTATACAGAAAAACGTGAAAAATTATTCATCTGTCCCCAAGTACTTGTAAAAAAATTTATGTAATTTTAAAATAGTCCTAAAAGGAAGTCCTTTTCTCAAACATGTCAAAGGTCAGTCTGATGAAGGAAACAATATCCGGACGCCTTTTTTTTCCATTTTCCTCCCAAAATAACCAAAACTGAATAATCATAAGCAAGGATGATACATGCGACTATGCATTCTACCTAAAGGACACAGAGGCATGATGATTAATTTATTGTGGAAGAAAGAGAAGCGACACACAAAATGAGGTCTTCTCATTTAATAGTATAGATAATGCATATTTTTTTTTAATTTGAAGTTTCATATGATTTGACAAACACTTTTACATTGTACTCATATAGCCAAGTGGCAAATTGATTTTGATATGGTTTTGGCAGTTAACTACATACAGGCAAGTAATATTCCTTTACATTTCATGTTTATTTTGGTTTTTTACAATATGTTTTTCCCTGATATTTACAGACAATACAAGATTTACTACAGCAGACGCATCAAGGAAAGTTAGTTGATGAAAGTGATATACCACCTAGAATACCTGTTGATGAGCCAAAGAAACAAAGACCAGGTATAACCACACTAGATCAATGTTACGTTAAATGAAACCGTAATAAGAATTTTGTTACAGTCCTACAATATTTTATAAAGTTTTCTACCAGTCTCACAGGACATGGATTCACAAGTTATCAATGTTGGAATGTCCCCAAACATCATACCAAAAGAAAGAAAGAAGTTCAATCAGATTTTTTATACACACATCACAATTTCATTTCAACTGAACATTTTTAATATTGATTATTCTGATGATCTAATTGTTAAAAAGTGTTAGGCCAGTCATTCCAGATGTATTTCCCTTTGTTGATGGTTATCTTTGTTAAAACTTTTACAAATAAACAAATTTTACATAAAGGGATAAATTCTGGACAGTCTTGCAAACAAAAAAATTATAATTTTTATATGAGAAGCCTGCTTTTCATATGTTTTGTAAATTTTTTTTGTTTAAACCAGATAAAAAGGAAGAGTTCTTGAGATAAATCTTGGAATAAAGATTGCAGTAGGTTTATTTACTAACATTGATGACATGTATATTTCAATTGTTTATTTAACAGAAGGGGCAACAAAGCAAAGTGAAATACAACCAACTGTCAAGCCTACTACAAAATCACACAGTGAACAACCAAGTACATCACCTTCTTCACAACAAACCCTAGAATTGAACAATGAACCAACATCACCATCACATGGTATTTATTCTAGATCTCGTAAATGGGTCAATGGTTTCAAAACACAGTTGACATACATTCTCATTATTAGGGCCCCGCCGATTGCCGCCCTATAGTGATCAGTCTGTCCGTCTGTCCGTCCATCCATCCGTCTGTAACAATTCGTGTCCGCTCTATATCTAGAGAACTGTTATGATTTCAAAGTTTATACTTGATATGTATATAAACAAACACCAGAGGGTGTGTCATAATTTATGTACAACTTCCTAGGTCAAAGGTCAAGGTCAAAAACTTTGGTTTCATTTGACAACCCCATGTCCAATGATAAAGATACAAATTTTTTACCACACATTATTCACAGCGGGGCCCACAGAGATGGCTCCCATCTCAATGATATCTAGTTTTTTCAGGGTTTGTCTATATTCATCTGAATATTGTTGAAGTCATATTAAAAATTTTTTATAACATTCCTAATTTCGGTGTTTATAAGATTAATAAGATAAAACATACAGTTCCATGCATCAGAAATCACTTTAAATGGTAAAACTTTATTCATATTACGAGTTAATCCTTAGTCAAAATGATTTTGTATAACCTGTTTTTTTCAAAAATTATTCTAAAAAACCTTCAAAATTTAGTGACTGCAATAATTCTTGCAAATTAGGAGACTTACAATTATGGTGTCTGTATTTTAGAAATAGAAACAGAGCAGATGATAGAAACAAAAAGAGATCAGTACAAAACAACAACTCTGCAGCCAAAGCAGTCTGGGGATATTAACACAGCTATAAGTAATGTACAGACAGCCAAGGTATAAAATAATTTGATATCAGTATATGACTTTTAGCAAAAGAAAACAAATGTAATTCCTAATTGATAGTATGTTTATGTCTTAAAATGAGCATTTCTTGCTAATAACTTGAATTAATAAACAGTATCTGAGATGTTCTTCCCATGACCCAAAAGTGTGCTTTCCTCATCACTCATTTTCTGTTCAGTTTTACAAAAATCTGAAAGTATTGAGCTAAAAAATTCAATCCAACTTTGCATTGACCATTCCTTGGGTACATATATGGCCACTGTAGCTTAAAAAAGAACATATGGGCATAATGCAGACAGGAGGGCGGACTATAGAGTGGGATAAGCAAGAAAAAGAGGGGGGGGGTAAAAGGTGGTTTGTTCACTTTCTGCCATGTTTGGTATTGATATTGTAGTGGGCACTATTTTTATGAAACTACTGGGCCAAATTTAACCAAACTTGGCCACAATCATCATTGTGAAATTTAGTTCAATAAATGTATCCAATGACCTGGCCAACCAACTAATTATAAGATTGCCACAATGGCTAAAAATAGAAAATATAGGTAAAATGTAGATTTCGGCTTATATCTCTGAAACCAAGGCGTTATTAAAGGACAAATCTGACATGGTTTAATATTGTTCAACAGGTCATGATCTATATGCCCTGAAATATTCAGACAAATCAGACAACCCCTTGTTGGGTTGCTGCCCCTGAATTGGTAATTTTAAGTAAATGTTGCAGTTTTTGGTTATTATCTTGAATATTATTATAGATATAGATAAACTATAAACAGCCTGACCATGCCTGCAAACCAACATGGCTAAAAATATAACATATGGGAAAATGCAGTTTTTGACTTTAATCTCTTAAACATCAATTGTAAATAAAATTATCATGTGAGTGACACAGGCTCCTTGGAGCCTCTAGTTTACTTTCAAAGTTGTATTCTAGTGGTATCTATTTAGTATATATTTTCCGTACACTATTACTGTATTTATTTTTTCATACGTGGTTATTCAAACTTCCAGTTTGCTCATTAACATATACAAGTTTCTAAATTGTCTTTTGGATTTTAATTTATTTTAACACCAGTGAAGTGAAGTGAAGTGTTCTAGAATTATTTCAAGCAGTTTTAACTTCTACATGAAGATAGAAAACAGGTTTTTCCATGAAAATACCGCAAACAACCACACAGGATTTGAAATTACTGGAGTTTCATTAGACATTTCCTAATAATAATAAAAAGGTTTTTTTTCCTGATATTTCATGATGAGAAAGGATACAATTGAGGACAATGTACCTGTGCGAACTATACAAATTTAATATCAATGTTTATATACAGGTGTGACTAGCAGTAATAGAAATAAAGGATAATTTTAATCTTTACAGATTCCATCACAAATGAGTGGTCATGGTTCTCCTCAGGACAGGAAACCAGTTCCTAAAATAGCTGATCAAGTAGGCTTTGGAGGGGAGAAAATGAGTACTGGTAAAAGGCCTGACAGAAAATTTGAGGATTCTCCATATATTCAGGTATGTTTAGGTGCATATTGTTAAACATCATGTAAATGGCATGACACAAAAAAAATATTCTTTTTTTTTCTGCCAGCCTCTTATAAGCTCAGTGTTCTGAATGAAATGTGAGCTTTAGCCATCACTGGGTGTCCGATGTCGTCTTCAATTTGGTGTAAACTATTTCAATCAACTTCTTCTCTGAAACTACAGCTATACCAATTCCAACCAAAGTTCCGCTGAATGATCCTTATGGAATCTAGAATATAGTATGTGTTTTATTTTCTGTTTCGTAAAAAAACATGGCCGACATGGCTAACAATAGAACATCGGGGGTAAAATGCCGTTATTGGCTTATATCTCAAAAACTAAAGCATGAAGAGCAAATCTGAAATCGGGTAAACATGTTCAGGAGGTTAAGTTCTATCAGCCCTGGAATTTTTAGATGAATCTAACAACCCATTGTTGGGTTGCTGCCAGTAAATTGGTAATTTTAAGGAAATTTAAGTTTTGGGTTATTAACTTGAATATTATTACAGATAAGCAAACAACAAAAATTTTCATCAAAGTAAGATTGATTAATAATGTTACGTGGACAAAATTGTCAATTGACCCCTAAAGGAGTTATTGCCCTTTAAATACAATTTTACACAATTTGTTTATCATGTTTTCTAACTTTAAAAAATATGGAAGAATTAAAAGTTTCGAACTGTTTGACAAATTCCATTTCCATTTATGTTATCTCTATCCTTTATTTCATAAGGGGTACAGTAATATATATTAAACTATATCTGAAATTTTGAATACCAAAAACAATTTTACATTTTATTATGACAGATTGTTATTCTTGTAATAGATTTTAATGCATTCATTTCATCAATTTTGTCATGTAGTAAATAAATAATAACAAAATATAAAACCTTATCATTTTTAAATTGTCAAGTGCATAGTTTTTTATAGTTCAAGAGGGATTATCTCTTTCAGGAGGATTCCTTGAGAATAGATATAAGTGACAGCGAAGGGGACACTAGTGAAGCTTCGGTAAGATATCAGTAATATAAGTAATATGCATGCTATTTTATAGATTCATCACAAGCCTATAATATGTAGAACAATTAAAAGGCCTCTGATTTGCTTTTTTATTGACATTTTAAATCCGTGGATTTTCTTTAGTGTAATAAAATCATAAATCTTTTACCTATGCATGTTTGTATTCATATGTTTAATAAGATATTCATTGTCATTAAATCTGAGATTAATTGTCTGAAATCACTTACGTATAAGTGAATAGATGTATATGAAATTTAACTATAAGGGTTATGGTCCCAACTGTTTCGAATTAACGTTTTTCTTGTTTCCCGCCAGTAACTTGTGTGTAAGTGTCTGGATCTCTGTCAAATTGTACCACAAAGTTCCAAACCACAAAGTGAACATTTGGGGTTATGGCCCTAAAGTTCAGGATTTAGGGGCAAAATGGGGAAAAACAAGTTTTTTTTTCTGGTTTCTGGACAATTAAGTATTAGTCGATGGATCTCTCTGAAATCATATCAAAAGGTTCTGTACCACACACAGTAGGTTGGGGTAGATTGTGGGGGTTATGATTTCAACCATTTAGAAACTAAATGCCAAATAGGGGCCAAAAACCTTTCCTATAATGGCTAAGCTGGTTTAACATAGATTATTTCTGATATATAGTGTAACGGTATGTCTCTTCCCTGAAATGGAACTTGTTTCCTCTAAAATTGTGTGTTTAAATTGTCCTGATAATTGACCTTTCATATTATATATTTCTTGTATAACTATGTTAAATCATTGTTTACTCTAAAACTTTTTATTATTCTGTCCTATGTTTTTACATTTGGAACAATTCTGAAATGTTTATTCCATGACGTACAATGACGTCAGTTCCGGTTTTAGTAATTAATTTTCCTAAATGGTAAATGGTAAACCAAATCCGTAAATTGGATTACCTAAGTATAAATACGGTGGAGAATACAGATAAGTCTTAAGCAAGACTTTACCCTGGTCAAGTAACACTCGCTAATACCAAGCGATTTTGATATACGTACAGATACCATGTGGGTTTGTTAGTTCCTTTACAAAAAGCATTTTGGGAATACTTCCTGAGAGAAACTTTATCTTTTGACATTGAATTTGATTTACCATTTGCCACTTACCAAACTACAATAAGTTAACTTTCTTGGTATATTTTTCCTCTATCCATTTTCTTTTATTCACGATAATCTAAGGTTTATAAAGTATTTATCTGTTACACTAGAATACTGTTAAAATATTTAATATTTATATGTATTGTTGATATTTAATGCATCTTAAAGTTAATACAAGATTATTTTTATTTAACGAGTCTGTTATTCTTACAAACATTGAGAATTACCATACAAAAACCTTTACTCCAATCTACCGTTTTATATCCGAGTCATTACCTTACCAGAAGAACCAACCTTAACTGTGTGTATAAAGAATACCAGAGTACCACATAGAAACACATTACCAGAGTACCACTCTACCAAAAAAGGTTGACCAAATATAACTTATATTTTATTGAACAAGAGTGTTGTCATACACTACAATCATTCAGATGTCTGCACTTATTAAATGGCTCTTCAGACAGCAGTAAATTTATTTCCATTAAGTTGGGAAAAAGTTAATGTCTTGGGGAATGATAAACTTGCCATTGCCCTCGAACTCATAGCCAGTCAATAAGTGTATGTTATATAATTCTTCAAATTTCCTTCTTCAAATTTCATCAATGGATACAGTTAATTTTTGTTCATTATTTAATAATTTGATATTAAAACTGTGTGATATTTGCATTTTTATTGTTTTAATAGTTGCCAACAATGAACATTGTGAAAAAGATGAAAAGGGTTGAAACAGGTATAGTAAATGGCTGGTTGCACCAACATGAATTCAACTCCTACACAGTTTTCAACCCTGATCTCTAAAACTTTACAGACAAATTTTCCTTATTGTTGAAATTTTGCACTTGCTATTATAGAATTAATATAAAATAAATTAATAAACTGTGTATTTTTATGCATGACTTCTGGGCATTGTGTGTATGGTCTGTCCGTTCATTTGTCTGTCCCACTTCAGGATAACGTTCTTGGTCAAGGCAGTTTTTGATGAAGTTGAAGCTCCATCAACTTGAAATTTATGATGCATGTTCCTTTTGATATGATCATTCAAATTGCAATGCCAAATTAGAGTTTTGACACAATTTCATAGTCCACTGAACATAGAAAATGATAGTGTGAGTGGGGCATCTGTGTACTACGGAGACATTATTGTTTTTTTAATGATTTCTTACAATTTTCAATTCAACACATAAACCGCCAAATTTGAACTTCACTGTTAAATTTCATATGTAATATTGTCCTGAAGAAGCCATGCTTGTTGGCGAAACATGTCGACCAGAATAAACTTTTACCATGTGGTAATTGATGTGTGTTGTTGTCTTTATTATCGTTTCATTTTACTTATCTTGTGAAAGACAACTGTGGATACCTTTTGGTATCCACCCACTTTTAACCAACCACACAATTACCATTTCAGGTGTTGGTTCACCTTGTTGAAGGATGTTTGCTTCTCAGTTTCAAAATATCAAGCTTTTCATAACACTAGTATATATTGATAGGGTATTAATAAAGGAACCAAAAGAGCCAAAAATAAATATAGGTCAATGTGCTTGTTCTGAAATAATAGCCATTGAAAATTTGGCGGGGAAATGTTCTCTCTTGATTTTTCATAGCTTTATCATTGACAAGTTTTAAGTTCTCAAAACCTATTAAAAAATATCAAAAGATTTTATAAGACTTTTATAGATGGCTTATAATTATACATGTAAAAGATTTATTTTAAAAGAAAATGGGGGTCAATGCTCAAAATTTTTTAAGGCATTCAAATGGATATAATCAGATGATTCCGAAAATTTGACAAAAATTCCTAAACATGACAAGCGAACATCCTTAAGTTCAATTTTCAATTAAATACAAAACTTTAATGGTTACCTGCTTGTCTTTCAAAAAAACAGTTTCAAAAATATTAAGTAAAATATCATATTCATACAATTAGTGACACAACAAAGTATGTTAACAATTTTTTTAGTGAAAGAAGATGTCATTATTTTATATTTAAATTTATAATTTTGGAAACAAATGGCATAAAAAAAAACACAATAGAAAAATACTTCTTTGAAGTCCATTTAGTTGGTTAACACAACTATAATCTTTTACAGGTTGTAACCTGCTGACCTTGGAAGAGAAGAAGAAATTGAGACATGATGCAAGTATACTTAAATTTACATTTAGCTTATATTCTTTAATTACTGTCATAAGTTCATGACTGAATAAATACATTAGATTATGTTTCACAAAAATCCAGTAGTTTGATTGGTTAACAGCAATTGTATGTCATTCTTAAATTAACCTTCTTTTCAAAATGAAATGTAACATTTATGATGACATGTGCTTCCTCAAAAAGTGCCCACCCACACTTTAAAAAAGTGGGAGTATACTGCTTTACCTCTGTCAGTCCATCTATCCACCCATGAATATTTTTTGTCAAAGTGGGGTTATACTTCATTACTTCTCTCTGTCTCACTGTCAGTCCATCCATCCGTCAGTCCGTCTGTAGTACCATGAATATTTTTTGTCGCATCTTTCTCAGGAACTATATTACAAGGATTTCTGAAATTTGGTTTCAGAGTTGATATGTTTCTGCTATGATGTGTGATGCGTTTTCAGATCCTATATATAAGTCAGTTATGCCATGTGATGCTTTCCAGATTCATCACTAAACCATTTCCTGTTTACTGAACACTTACATAACTTTACACATTTGTAGCCAAGTTGAAAAATTTCTTGATATTTTTCACAAGTACTACATCACAAGGATTTCTGGAATTTGGTTTCAAGTTTTATGTATAAAGTCAGTTGTACCATGTGATGCATTTGCACATCCATCACTCAACAACTTCCTGTTTAGCGAAGTGGGTGAGGGTATTATCAGTGAGCAGTTCCCTCTAAGTTTTACTTCTGTCTATATGTATATTCCAAAAATTGGTTTTCTTTGTCTAACTCTACTTTGCCTAAACTATGTGTATAATTTTCATCTTAGTTGTAGATCCATTTGTGGACTTGGATTGTTGTCCACAACTTGTTGGGGTTGCTCTCTCTATGACACATGTTTGTGGGTTTCCTTCTTCTTTAATATTACAAACAAAAAATGTGGTTTCATTCTATACCCAGCATTATTTTATTTATGCTTAAAGCCTTTTAATTAATTTTTATTTCCAGATGGCAAAGGATTTTGTCCCAGGGAAACCTGGATTGATTTCAAAAGAATTTATGGTCCTGAATAAGGATTCAATTTATTCAAGATATTTTGACAGTTCCACCACAATTAAGGCAAGTATTTTAGGTTAATCAGAATAAACTGACTTTCCAATAGAATAACTTTCATAAATTTGAATTATAAAATAACTTCATTTTCTGTCTAACATATGTATGGTTAATAAGTTAAGTTTACAGTAGTTAAGCTCAAAGTTATGCAGTGTATATTGTTTTCCAATGTACTCCAAACTGTGACAGAGAGAATGATAATGCCTTTAGACACCTAGTATTACTTAATAGTACTGTCATGATACATTGATATCTAATGATACCTGCCTAATGAATTGCGAAGAGAAAGATTTTTATACTTGGTCACTACCTTGACAATGATGAGTTGTGATGTGTATACACTATTCAAATTTGTTGAGCACCAACAACCTTTTTTGTGTATACTTTGAAGTATGGGTGTTAAGTATGCTGATTTGCACTCAAACCACTTCTTCTTTATATTAAATTAGCATTTCTTACTGTTCATTCTTGTTATGTTTTAACAAATGATAATGTTGATTATATATTTATATATTACAGGGTCTTTACAATTGGATAGTGGCAACAATTCCTTATGAAATGTTGCCAGCTAAGTTCATCCTAAAATGTTTACAATCATGCAAGGAGGTGGACTGTTGCCACGCTTTTCCAATATCAACAGTGATGGACAGAGATGTATTTTTACGCTCCGTCCCAACAAAGTTAATGATCTCTCCAATTGTAAGTTTACGATAAGCAAACATGAAAACTTGATACATTATTTTCTGTACAACCAAAACAGACAGAATATGTTCCATTACTGTCGCATTTATTCAATTTCTAGCACATACAAATAGGAATAAAAAGTTTCCTTTGTCAAAACCTTGCCGGTTGGAAGCTAACTGCCATAATAAATAAAAAAATGCAAATGGGAAAATCAGCATTGTGATAGAGGTACAAAAATAATACAAAATTGATTTTTATTGACAATCACAGTCACTGATTTATAAATTCTGACTCAAGGCAACATCAACTGAAACTGAAAAAGATTTTCTTTTTTTCTTTCTAAAATCTATCTTATCTTATTTTATCTTATAGACATCTACATATCAGGTTAAAAATTACAGCCAATTTCACTGAGTGTGTAGCTAAAGGTAATATCTTCGGTTAGCTTGCTTGCTAGCTGAACTGTGAAGTCATTATAAGGTAAGGTATACTACCCTCCTTTCTGAGTAGCTTTTTCCTACAGACAGATAGATTGGTTATCTGTTGGACTAGTCTATTCTTAAAGGAGGGCAGTTTACCTTACCTAATAATGACTTCCTGGTTCAGCTAGCTTGTGGTGGAAATGTGATTGTCTGACCATAACCAAAGATATTAACTTTAGCTACACATTCAGTGAAATTGGCTGTAATTTTTAACCTGATATGTAGATGTCTATAAGATGAAATAAGATAAGATAGATTTTATTTCCAATAGAGGACCCATTATAGGCATAGTCAGTACATTGATTTTGTTTATATCACACAATTGCAATAGACAATACAATGTCTATATTAAATATGTAGTCACTAATTGCATCCAGTATAAAAGAAAATGTACACTTCATTTGTGTAAAAGGCAAACTTCAATGACAGATAAGCATCTTGAAATAATATTTTATGATTTCTTTTTTGGCTTTTAAGTTCATGTATTTACTTTTGCAGTGTGACAATCCTGAAACTACCTTTACCTGTTATGATGAGGTGTATTTCAGTTATGGAGACCTTTAAGGAACAGGACCAGTAAATGAAAGCAGACTAATGTGTATTTAAATTAAAGAAAACATTGTAAAATATTGCAAGAATAATTTTTTTATTGATTTATACATGTACTTGGAAGTGTAAAAGTTTTGATGTAATAATGTTCATAATTGTCAGATCTTTTTTGAAAAAAAACATCTATAATGGTTTCATTCCATATAAAAACTGACATGGTTGTCAATAAGTAAGGTTGTTTCTATTACAAAAAAACCCTGATAGTTACAAATTGTTGAACACTTTTTTGCATATGTAATTTTCATTGATATTTTGGTTTTATCAAACTGATGGTTTTGGTTTTATCAAACTGATGGTTTTGGTATTTTAACGCTATAAAATGAGGTCACAATTACCTAAAAGCTTTTGCCATTACTTTGCTTCCATCTTCCTCAACCAACAAGAACCAAACTTAAGTTAAATGATCCTTGAGTATCTAGAATATAGTTTGTGTTTTATTTTCTGTTTCATCAAAAAACATGGAAGCCATGGCTAAAAATAGATCACTGGGTAAAATGCTGTTCAAAATTTATCTGTTCATGAAATTTAAAGACCAATTTGACAACCCGTTGTTGGGTTTATATAATAAATTTCTTAGTTTTCAATTGTCTGAGTATTTTTTTAGATTAAGAGAAACTGTAAACAGTGAAAATTCATAAGGGTTCAGTGGAACCAAGTGTCTCACCTACTTTTGATGTTTGTGGCAGGCTCAAAAAATTTGGAAAAATGTAGGATCACTAGGTCTCGCTGCAGGCTTGATAAAGATGTAATCCTCAAATAAGTGAATGACAAAAATATATCTTTTATAAGAGTTAGGCCAAATACAAATATATGTGTGGTTACAGTTACCCTACCTTCCGTACTTTTTAGTCTGAACAATAAAGCCTACCCAAAAGAAAATTTTTTGTCATTAGTTCAGCACAGATATAGTCAGAATGTTGCTCCTATACACATAATGTAAAAAAAAAACAACTTAAAATTGAAATAAAATTACTAACTACCTACCCTTAATTTTTTTTTACTGAAACTTCACATACTTTTCTATTGCTTTTTATATATGATTTGTACATTTTTAGCTCACCTGGCCCAATGGGCCAAGTGAGCTTTTCTCATCACTTGGCGTTTGTCGTTGTCCGGCGTCCATCATCCGTTAACCTTTACAAAAATCTTTTCCTCTAAAATTATTGGGCCAAGTTTAACCAAATTTTGCCACAATCATCATTGGGGTATCTAGTTTAAAAAACGTGTCCGATGACCCGGCCAACCAACCAAGTTGGCAGCCATGACTAAAAATAGAACATAGGGGTAAAATGTAGATTTTGGCTTATATCTCTGAAACCAAAGCTAATATGACCTAAACAAAAAGCAAAGATAATCATTGATGACTAGGTGTGCAATTCAGGCTCTTTGAACAAAGAGTTATCAATAGATTTATGGCCAAGTTTATGTGATGATCAGCCAAAAAATAACATTATTTTTGTCTTATACACAAATCTTATCCATAATAAATATCTTGTGTTCTTATGTTTTTTTTTAATACTGTATCATGTTGTCATGGAAATAGACAGAAATATGTGAAACAAAAGACTGTGTGCTTGTATAAGCAGCTCATAAAACACTGATAATTTGTACACTTTGTGAAAATGATAATGTTTACAACATTACAAATTGTATACAACAAATAAACACAATGATGTACAGTTCTGCTTTTAAATTTTATAAATGGACAAAATAAAACTTCAAATGATTTAATGTGTTTTACAATAAATCACACTTTGTATTTGAACAACTTTATATCTGAAAGTAGCTTCACAGGGTTAATTCCCTTTTTTCAATTTAACACTTGTACACTTTATCTTTAAATTACCCAGAAATACCACACTAACAGTAATAAAACATGAATGATTTTCTTGCATTTGTTATATCATATGCTTGATAAGGATACCTGCTTCTTGTGCAACTTCTGCAACTATTAGATAATCAGTATAAGTGTGTGTTCAGACTCCAAAAGTTTGTCTGCACAATATAGCTTGTTATTATCTCTGTTTGGGATTTGGTATGGAATATGTTTAAAAGATTTGAAAAACATTAATTTTTCTGAAAATCTGTCTTGTCATTACGTTTGGATATCTGTCAATACCTTAATTTTTTGTATCCATCCGTATAATTTTGCAGGGGCATGGTAAATATAATTGTAGACAAGCCCCGTCCATCTTTGCAGCCATTATTGTTTCTTGGTGCAAAATCAATTACTTAAGTAACAATGGAAATATATTTGAAATTTAGTATCAACTGGAATATATACTAGAACTATATCAACCAATGGAAAGTGTGTAAATCAGCTGCCATGTTACAAGTAATTACTGAAGAAAATGGTTTGTTAAAATTTGGTGAGCTACCCAAAATAGACACAAGTGACAATAATTGAGATCCAGCAGCCAAAACTCTCTAAGCTGTTCCAAATTCAGTTGTTGATTCTGTCATTTTGTTTTTTGTAGATTGTTTTGTTATAATTTAGGCAGTTAGATTCTTTGTTAGAATTTTTTCACATTTTTGTCCAGCCTAGGCGGTACAGGGATAGTGATTTGGTGGTGGCTTAACTAACTTCTTAAAACCTTTCTATTTTAAAAGGTGGAAGACTTGCATGCTTCATTCTGTGTATATAAATGCCTTATGTTACAAAGTTTCCATCTGTCACATGTCAAATGTCCTTGACCTCATTTTCATGGTCCAGAATATTTGATGTTTGCATACTTTGCAAGGTCATCATGCTCGTCTGACAGTTTTCACTTGACCTCGACCTCATTATATGGATCAGTGAACAAGGTTAAGTTTTGGTGGTGAAATCCATATCTCAGATACTATAAGCAATATGTCTAGTATATTTGATGTATGGAAGGATTGTTAGGTGTACATGTCCAACTGTCAGGTGTCATCTGATCTTGACCTCATTTTCATGGGTCAGTTGTCAAAGTTAAGTTTTTGAGTTTTGGTCTTTTTTCTTCTAATACTAAATGTAATAGGTCAACTATATTTGGTGTATGGAAATATTTCATGATGTACATGTCAAGTCTCCCAGGTTATATTTGACCTTGACCTCATTTTCATGATTCAGTGGTAATAGTAAAGTTTTTGTGTTTTGGTCTGTTACACTATTAGCAATTGGTCAACTATATTAGTTGAATGCAAGGATTGTAAGATGTACATGTCTGCCTGGCATTGTTCATCTGACCTTGACCTCATTTTCAGGTTAAGTCTGTTTCTTTGAAGCTAAGCAATATGTAATCTATATTTAGTGTATTGAATGATTGTAAGGTGTACATGTATTTCTAGTTTGATTTCTATTACCTTGACCTCATTTTCTTGGATCATGTTAAGTTTATGTGATAATTGTAGTAAAGCTTTATATTAAGGACTATCAAAGGTGAGTAAAGAAGCAAGAGATTTCAGCATATGCTCTCTTATTCATGTTGAGTCCTTTTACAGCTGACTTACTTTATAGCATGGGGACTATACAAGCTTACATCCACTCATTTGAGCTCTAATGGATACCGGTAGGTGTCTAGTTGGCAATGATACCACATCCTCCTTATTTGTATTAACATATAAATCTGGCAAAGAGACTGGGAGAAACTGGGTTTTTATAGCTTATACAAAATACTGTATAACTCAACATAAAGACATGCATACTTTCCTGGTAAGGAAAACGTACAATTTAAGACAACTATAAATACAAGAGCTTGCTGTGCGGTGTGAGCCTAGTGTGCTACGTGTTGAAGACCGTACTTTGACCTATAATGGTTTACTTTTATAAATTGTGACTTGGATGGAGAGTTGTCTCATTAGCACTCATACCACATCTTCTTATATCTAAACAAGAGTATTCCAATTGAAAACATAAATATGGAAACCATATCAAGAATGTCAAAAAGAAAAAAAACAACAACATGTGAATCGAAAGCATTTTCATTGGTATGATTGTTATCAAGCTATTACTTACATAATAACTGACCATTATGTATAGGTGTATCAACAAAAAATGACATATACAAAGCTACTATCACTGCAGAAATGTTAAATAGTATCATATACAACCTGAAAAACGATTGTGTTACAATTAGAGAAATTCACATTTTAAGTTTAAAACCACTAATTCATAGCCCAATTTCTTAATGTTTAATTCTGTAATTTCAAGCATATATGGCTACTTTGTCTAAAGGTCAAATAAAGTGGCAGTTATTTCAGGTCAAAACTATACCTTTATATCCTGACTTGTGCTGAAAAATTCAACATACCTTTAATTGCATGATAGAGTGTACTGTTTCCCTGAAGTTTGATAGTACAAAAACAAATTCTTCTGATCTGAAGAACAGGGCAATTGTGCCCTCCTATTAAAATTTCATATGCTTCTTTATTATTTAAAAGAAACCCTCAACAAGGATTTTACTATAATCCAAAGTCCCCTAGATTTAATTTGACAGCAAAACTTCCCAAATATTTCACCTATTGAAAAAGATACAGCTATATGTAGGAACTATTTTGTTTGAAATATGTACCAGTACTACTTTCTTGTATTTTCTTTCCAACTGGACCTGAACTAGTGGTTCTATAGTCCATACCTATAACATATACTAAACTAGCTAGGAAAACCAACACTTTTTCATGTATGCCTTATTTGAAGTTATTTCTTTTGTTTTCTTATTATAACTTTTTAACACAAAGCTTTTTTACAGGAACACTAGTAGTCTACATCTTTAAATTGACATCAGAGTTTTGCATATGAAGTCTTCTTTTTCTTGTATTGCATGGATATCATTCAAATTATGGAGACGCTTCACACAATTTTAAGACTAATTTAAACTAATAAATTTAAAATCTTAAGTGTACACCTTAATTTTATACAGTATCAATATGGGGAATAAAATTTTCAAATTTATATGAATGTATAAATTTAAAATCTAGGAAGATACTATAATATTATACAGTAAAAGTTAAATGGGAATCAGAGCTTAAAATCTAAAAGGGTACTTGATACTCTGCAACAGAGACATATAATACAATATGTTTAATACTGCAAGTCTAGCGAGAATTAAAGCTTAAAATCTGAAAGCAAATTTTATACAATGCAAGTTAAGCTTAAAATATAACAGTTTACTTTATACAATATGAGTAATGCGGGAAAAAACCCTGTCTCTTCCAGTTTATCAGTCTATATACATACATACTCAAAAATATTGTTATTGGCAGAGCACTGTTCAGTAGCTACTTTATATACAAAGTAATTTTATAAACAACATCTCCTTGTATGCATATCCGAGAAGTATTTGTTTCTGTTTTAAATGGCCATTTAATGCAGCTGTTAATGGTTAAACAACTGTGAACTTTTCATATTTTTTTTTAAATGTGCTTAAGGTAGATGAGATGTCTTTCGTCTTATTGTATTTTAATATAGAAAATAATAATAGATCTACAGTTTAAATAACCTATTCAAATTTTGGAAATGGAATGGATTTCATTAGTAATACATTTCATCAAAAAGATGAACATTTTGGGTTGGGTCTCATTATAATTATTATTTTTTTTTAAATACATCATTTTTTTATTAGATTTCTTCTAACTTGCAAAAAAAAAAGCAACAAAAATTTACTTTACAAGGGGAGACAACTCCAACAACTCTTATAAAGTATAGTGTGGTAAAATTAACTATTTCGGTGTGTAGCAAGAGAACGATTCCCTTGAAAGCAAATATTAAGAGCCAACGTCTCATAATTTAACTTAAAATCAAATTGTTATGTTGTTTTCCATAACTAAAATAAAAAAATCATGTGAGACAAAAGGAACTATTTTTTTTGCTTTTGAATAGTTCTTTGATCAACTAGTATGCTGTTTACCATATTTTTAGAAAGCATGGTATAGACTATATTTTAGAAAATTATTACAAATCATAACAATTGACATCGAGACCCGCTATTCTACCTTAAACTGATAACACAACCATTTTTTGAAAATTAAAACATTCACTTTTCAAAAACTGTAGAGAAAACAGGAAAAATATTCTGACGATTTTTATCATTAATTATGATAGAAATTGCAAATGGACTTTGTTAATACCAAAGAAGTTGACAATGGGTTTCTATATGAATTTACCGGTACCCTAAAAATCAAAGAATACTATAAACACATATAATTTTTCAAATTATTTGTTCTACCATAATATAGCTACGGAAAACTGTTTTATTAAAGATTTATGGCAAGTAGCTATATCATGGGAAAACAAATAAAAACACCCTTCTTTTTTCACTATAAAGGATATGTTTCATGGTTATTCCAGTGTAATTTTGGACTTTTTGTGTGCTTTGAGGTTAATCCGTATGGACCAGTCGATGGTGTTTATGAATTTTGTTTAATTGAATTTTGAAAATCTAAGGCTTAGACAATACAAGTATAGGAAACTGACCACCATTCACAGTTGTATTACCACTAACAGGTTCCTTGAATGTAATTTGATTCTGATCCCCATCCACATTACTACATTGTCTAATTTCTGCTCCAACACTACCTTGTACACATTCTCCACCTTCCAAAAATAGTTGCAATGTATAGCATGTTCCAGCTAACAACAATAGCGGAGCTCTAAACATTAAAACAACAACATTGCTCTGGCACTCAATACGACGATCTATTTTACCAATTATTTCATTCGAAGTGGTTTTAAAGAGCTTAAGTCTGGCAGAGAAGGATATATGTGCCTTGCCGTAAACACCTACAGACCGCAAATTACATGTTGTGTCTACTGTAAAGGATAGTCGTTCTCCATCTATATTATTGCACGGCAATAGTGTATTGGTATTACATACCATAAATCTGTTGACCACGATATCATTGTTGGCTTTGTATAATCTAGGTGAACAAATCTTTTTGTATTTATCATCTTCAGTGAAAGAAATGTCCTCAGTGCTACTGATGTACTGAAATATTTTATTACACATATATGTTGGAAGAATGTGGTCGAACACACATCTACTGGCAAAAAAAGAAATGCTCATTAAGCAGAATCTGATATGGGGTGCAAATAAATCCCAAATGTCAGGTGCATCATTGTTACTACAGAACACCGATATCAAATCAAAAAGAAATTCCTCGCTTACAATCAAAGAGTCTCTGCTGACAACCTTGATCATAAGTTGTATAGGAAGTGCATAAAAGTCCTCTACAAAGTTGGCACCAAGGTTAACAAATTTAGCATCTATATAGTTAAAACACATGTCCTTAACAGTATTTAAATTAAACTGATCTGAAATCATCAGAATATTAAAAATATTGGCATCACAAACTGACTTTTCCAAAAATGACTGGCAAGCTGCTAATAAGTCGTCAATCAAGAAGAATGTTGATGCATGAAGAATATCAGTTACATTGGTGTAGGTTATATCTATAGGAATGTCATATAGAAAATCAATGACCTTTTTCATGGTACCTATCTGAAAATTGTTGCAGTTGACTACTATCTGATCATGATTAATATTGGAAGCACTCCATTTCTCCGACAATTTTTCCTCAAAATAATTACTTGATGTCTGCAAAATAACAGAATGGCAACTTATGGCATTGTCATCTTCACAGACCAATTTAACATTACAAAACTTTCCTGCACGGTATGCCTCTTGTAGTCTATCTTTAATAGTCATGGTATGGCTGTAAAAGAACGTAATCATAAAGCTGTATTAATTCTAAGCTTTTCATTGCATTATATTCAACCACTTTTTTAGAGGGTTGCAAAAAAGTATTTAAAAAAATAATAGGATATGTCACTTTTTGATTTTCATGTATTCAACTTTAAGCATTCCTGATGAAGGTAGAGCTACAAAAAATAAATGTGGAATGTGTCCACAGATGATGCCTCCGCTAATAAGCATTGTGTATAAGTTTTGTAACATGTGGTTGAGGCAAACTAAAATTAGAGAAGGGAAACGAAAAATGTAGCAATTTTTCCATTTGTAAAGGGGCATAACTCTAGAATGGTGAAAGTGATGCCACCAAAATTCAAACTTGATCTGTATTTAGTGGTAATAAGCATTGTGTATAAGTTTCATAACATTTGGTTGAGGCAAAATAAAGTTAGAGAACGGAAACCAACTTTGGGATGTACGTACGTACAGACGGGCAAGGGTTAAACTTAATACCCCTCTGTTACGGCGGGGCATAAGAAAGCACTTATTGTAGAGAAATAAAAGTATAAAGTAATATTTTTATTGTCACCATGCAATATGAATACAAATTTATGAATAGAACATTTAGAGAAAATGTATTTATTTTCATGTAAATAAAAAAGAAACATCAACATCTATTCCTTTACATTCATATCTAATGATATATAACTCTTAGTACAATGTTTTCACTAGTTGGTATGTTTACATATGTATATATACAATATGAGGTCAATGTCAGAAAAATATAAACTTTTTTGTATGAGGCTCAGAAACTGGGTAAGGGCGAGGTTTAACCAAGCCCTTTCCCAGTTTTGTGCCGAATACAAAAAAGTTTATATTTTTTTTAAATTGACATAATAATGTTTTTATACTGCAACTTAAATAAATACATTGATAGCTATTTAAATGTAACACAAATTTCAAACTTATTTGGATCCCTTATTGAACCCCTGATTGTGGAAAAAGTGTTCCATGATGAAATTGACATTGCACAAAATATGACTGTGTTACTATATTTAGGAAATAAACACAACTAGGTGCAGTATAAATGAATATATACTAATATATGCACAATATTATTTTCATTCACATAAAATTTTCTATAATGATAAAGTTACACAAATAAAAACATTTTTTTACTCCTCTCTCAGAAGGATATATTAAAGGATAAAATAAATGGGGAATGTGTCCATAGGACACAGATGATGCCGCCACTTGCATATCATATTAAGTTATAAAGGGACACAACTGAAGAATGGTGAAAGTTTATGAAAATTTATATGTAATCTAAGTTTTGTGGTAATAAGTATTGTGTATTTCTGAAAATTTTGTTGTGGAAAACTAATGTTAGAGAACAGACACGATAAATTCAGTAATTTTTCCATTTGTAAAGGGGCATAACTCTAGAAAAATAAACGTGACACCCCCAAAAATCAAACTTTCATAACATTTGGTTTAAGCTAACTTAAGTAAGAAAATGGAAATGAAAAATTCAGCATTTTTTTCTTTTGTAATGGGGCGTAACTTTAGAACAGTTAAAGTGACACCACCAAAATCATAACTTAATCAATGTTTTGAGGTAATTAGCATTTTGTACAAGTTTTAATAACATTTTGTTGAGGAAACATAAGTAAGAGAAAGGAAATGAAAAATTCAGCAGTTTTTCCATTAGTAAAGGCACATAACTTTAGATTGGTAAAAGTAACACCATCCAAATCAACCTTGATCTGTATTTTGTGGTAATGAGCATTACATATAAGTTTCTTTACATTTGGTTGAGACAAACTAAAGTAAGAAAATGGAAATGAAAAATTCAGCAATTTTTTCATTTGAAAAGGGGCATAACTCTAGAACGGTTAAGGGGATGCTACATGTACCAAAATTACTAGTTTAAAAAGTCCATGGTTACTACTAGTATATCTAATCCAATGTCAGTAATATGTCTCTTATAAAATGCTTTCAGAATATAAAAAGACAAAACGTGGTCATCATACATTTTTTTTACAATAACATAAAATAAAATAGAAAACTTTCCAGAAGATTACTTTCTAAATTATACATTTTCTGAGTTACCTCCCCTTATAACATGCAAATTTATAGAAAATTGAAATCAAGCAAAACTTTTTAAAAATAATGTAATCAAGGCCAAATATATTCTTTCCTTCAAATGAAAATCATTGTTTCTAAGTTGCATTCCTGCATCAGAATTTGCTGACTTAATTAAAGTATAGTCCCATTTTAAGATGGAAGAAGACACCCATACCATCTTAAAAGCAGTTGAACTATTTGCAACTATAGATCATTTTATATATTTCATTAACCTTTATTGTGTCAGGTTCTCCGACAGAAATAGACTAAAATTTAATTTGATCCAAAACATAAATCAAAGATTCAAGTTGCCCAGTTGCACAGAATAGAAAACAGTCTATATTGAAATGTTTGCCAAAATTGAATGTAATTTGTTGACGGTAATCCTCATATTGTTAATCTCAGATGAGACAATTATCTACTGGCCAATCAACCAAGTGACAGGTAAATTGATATATTACAAATGAAATATAATTTCACACAATTAACAGCTATGTATCAACATGGTAAAACAATATATATCATTAATAATTGTGATTTAATTCATGCTTATACATTTACATTCATAGCATCTCAACATCTAAACACACACAAAAATCAGTTTCAATGTTTGTAGTTATCACAAATTCTCATACAAGTTTATGTTGATTCTGAAAAGTTTAGTCTTCAAAGATTTTGTCACCTGACACATCATTAAGATACCAGTAACAAATATTGTCTCTTCTAGTTAGAGTGGATAATGATGACTTTATGATTTGACTGACACAAATAAGTCTTTAAAATCTGAAAAAATAATGATAAAAATTAGTGACATATTTTTAATACATCTAACTTCTGTTAATGTGCATTCATTTATTTTCATTATTACCAATTTTAAACTGATTGAAATTGTCCTTTCTTTTTTTTTTGTATTTGATGGTTTTTGCCAATAGTTGAACGTTTAAAGGGGCACTAGCTGTCAAATTCATGTTCACCGATTTGACTCAAATTCTCATATTTGATTTATAACAATGTAAAACAATTATTCAAACTATTAAAAGTCTAAAATAAACAATTTACAGGACATGGGCTCGATAATATGTAGCTAAGTTTCGTGTGTATTGTAGTCTAGACGCCATCTAATTAACTATCGAGTTGACCTCCAAAGTCGTCCGATGACCATATAAGCGATGTCAACATAAATATAGATATAAATAGATTAAGCGAACTTGTGCAATGGGATTTTTCTATGTCTTTTTAATTTCGTATTTTGATTAAAAATATATGTTTATCATCGTTTTTACCTGTATAAGAATGATTTTTGTGGATTGAATCAGTCAATCAAATGATTTACTTTTGTTTCACTTTCAATGTTGACATTCTTTTCCTTTAAATAACTATACACGAACAATTTATGCGTTATCCATCTCTAGCTAAGTGGTTAAATTGAAGTTCACATGAATACGGATTCAATGAGGTCGAATGATTCACTTGCATCAATGTTTCTTAGCTTATTTTGACAAAATTAAACCATACTGGCTGCTAAAAGCGAATAATTATTTCACTATTTCACTTTCATTAATGATTGAACAAAAAAAATCCCATTTTCGATTTTTTTTATATCTCGTAGCTAGTGCCCCTTTAAATTTGTGATTTACCTATAACCATGGAATCAGTGGAAATTGGTGGTATCCGATGGATTATAATGAATCAACAGGAACTATTTAACCTTCATTAAATTGATTGAAAATATCATTATTTCCATTCTCACATACATATGAAACCTAAAAGTTTGTTGTTAGATGTGTAATTATGATTTTGATGAGTATAGCAAATACTCTTATTTCAAGGGAAATCTGCAAATTGCTACTTGTATACAAAATCAACATAAGTTATTGTGTATGACTAATTCTATTGTGTATATCACCAAATTTGCCATAATAGTACCTCTAGGATAGCAAGTTCTCCATTCTGTCCTTAAGATATATAAATAAATGCCGAGCATTTTGTACAGAATCAACTGCAGCTTGGATGTTTATATTGTCCCTAAGTTCAGTTAAAACTGCCTCAAAGTCTTCATCAATTTTATGAAATAGACTTGCTTCTTGGTGACACTGCTCATTGAAAAAATTTAATGTCAGCTCATCTGCAGGAATACAGAAATCTGAAGTACCTAAAACAGATTTTAAACTGGTATAAATATTACAGAAAATGAAAACATAAAGAAGTTCATATCCTTATCATCATAAATTTTCATCTTTAGACAGTATTCTGTATTGTTCCAAGAGTGCTATGATGTTGTGGTGTAATTTTGTTTTCATGTAGTCAATCTATTCTCAATTTGAGTTTATCATTTTGTAATTTATGAAACAATTTTCATGAATTGTAAACTTATATCTTTAATTTTATATGTGTTGTTGCTCTGCCAAACACAATGTAGCATACAATGAAAAGTTGGAATAACAGTTGTGGAAAGTAACTCAGTCACCTAGCATGCAAATAATATATATGTCATGAATATATTAATGTTTTTCACTTAATGTTTACCAGGTATCAATTATTTTAATAATCAGTTAATTCAAGTAAATCTTCTTAAAACTTTTGAGAAAACAAGCATGCACATGTGTCATGATAATAACACTTTCACACACTATCAAAAGATTTGAAAACAGTAGTTAGATGTCTGGTAGATCAATAAGCTGTTGCACTTTAAAAATCTAACTGTGGAGCTCTTGGTCGAAATTAAAGTCATTCTGTTAAGTATCAGGAAAGTTTGTGTGTGTTTTTTTAAATTCATTCAACATATTGACTAAAATAAGTAGGGAGTTTCTGACAGATAAAAAAATCCTCACACTTAAAAACTCATTGCTATTACAAGTGCAAGCTGTTGAATAAATGTGAAAGCATTCTTTAAGAATTTTTTGAGAAAAGTGTGACACATATATTTGTTGGGCAAACAAGGTGAATGCAATGTAGGCCCAACTCGAGTTGTGGTAGAAAAGTAATTGATTAATAAATCAAGAATCTGGAAGCCAATTCATTAAATCATAGGTATGAAAAAAAAACTAATACAATTACTTGTACATGTATAACCAGGTGGTTAATATTATGAGAGGGGAAAAAATTCAAAAAATATGCATTGTATTCTTACCATAAACTTCAGGATAATGATATAGAACATCAGGTATGCCTGACAATATATCTCCCTGATTTTGTTTTCTTATATTATGGCTGTTCCAAAGAACTATAAGGTCTGCTAAATCTTGTTGAATTATCGGCAAATATACAAACTGCAGGCATATTCTGAAATGTTAATGGAGTATATTTCAATAAGATCCTAATATGATCCCTATTTAGAGCAATATGAATATCACAATGAATCATACATAAAATCATATTGTTGTAAAAAGATGTGGGTCTTTTTGTTGAAAAATTATGTACATGTAATAGCATTCTTTTAATGACATGAAGAACATATCTTGACTTTAATATTTAGTTTGACGAATTTCAATCGATTTAATTTACTACACGCAACTTTTCTTCACATACAGATGATTTTGTCAACTTTTATCAAAACTCTATTTTTGGCATAATTTGAGTGTAAATTTCAAAGTTTTTTTTACAAGAAATAGTTCTGTTTCACATTTTATGTGCATGAATATTAAACAATATTACATATGGTGTAGCATTCTTTTGTTTGCATTGGATATTAGGATCACATGTTTCAAAGGTTATTTTATGTATCCAAAGCCCTGGTTCTATTTTTATGTATATTGATGTTATGTTTCTATTTATATGTTTATTGACTGTAAATATAAAAAAATCTTGCTAAATTTAGATTCATGACGTCATAACATGACACCGAACATACATGAAGGATTGAGCACTAGTAGACAAATAGAAAAGAAAATTTGCAAGTATATCAGAAAGAGATATCAATAATTTTATGTTAAATGCAGTTGCTGAGAATACAAGGAAGCTTACAACACAACAAGCTATGAAATAGTTCAAAGAATATTGATATTTTCAATAACATGTTAAAATTCTTGCAAAATACATTTTAAACAAGAATGTGCCCCTCTCGCACTATCATTTTCAATGTTCAGTGGACTATGAAATTGGGGTCAAACATATGTAATATTTAAATCAAGGACTTTCACTCAGTCAATTCGTTATATAACTATAATAAATTTGAAGAAAACACAAACAATTGAATAAAATTGTCATCAACCACCAATGACTAGAATAAGGAGTTTTCAGACGTTTTCCTCCAAATTGTCTTAATAGTAGATCTTTTCTTGATGATTTTGGTTTCCTATTATCTATTCTAATTTTTTTAATATAAGGCAAAAAATGTAATGAGTCAACGGACGATTTTGATCGTATTGTCCTATTTGTAGAACTTGTCTTGTTAATCATTTTTGTTATTTAAAGTTTGTCTCTATCTTGCATGGTTTTTTATTTTATTGTTTTGACACAGTGTCTTACAAGCCTACAGATAATTTGTACCTCATGGGACATTGATATTTGTGGTTCACCTATACTCATAAAAGTCAGCGACAATTGATATCCCACAAATAATAATCAACAGTCAATTGGAATACTACAATGATGTGTCCCACTGTTGAAGCAACTTTGCTACAATTTTCCCACTATATAGTTTCATTTAGGATGCAACTCACTTGTGAATTTGACTGTTAACATTCAATAAGCCATCTGCTTGAAGGCACTGTAATGAAAAATATAACTGGCTTAAAATCTATATCACAAGATATCGAAAATGAGCTGACAGCATTTTAGAAATGATTTGTACTTTTACATGCAGATGATATTGTTTTATTAGCAGAAAACAGCACTGATCTACAATACATGTTAGACACCATTTACAAATATTGTGAAGAATGGAACATGAAAATAAATACAAAGCATTGCAAAGTTTTGATCTTTTCGAGCGGCAGAATGCCAGCAAATCTAAAGTTCACAGTAAATTGTAAAAGAAAACAAATATTTAGGAATTTTACTTTCTAGATTCTAGAAGTGGATCCTTTTTATCAAATTAAAAATACTGTGGTATGTCGGAATCCAATATATAGAATGCACAGTTTGCTCATAAATGGGTGTCAAAATGTACTAAGCAAAATCTCAAAGACCAGTTTCAACAAGAATTGCTAAAACTTCATGTTATGGTATTTCTAAAAATAATTTAAGAAAAAAATTTTGTTTTTCCTTACAAATTCATGTTTACATTATGCAAATATATATGTGGTAGTCACCACTTGCCAACTGAGTCTGGACAGTGGCAGGGTCTACTGAGAGGACATTGGTGACGAGGACCATTACAATATGAATTGTGGAACATTTAAGTCGGAAAGAAAGAAATTTCAACCTAAATACAAAAACAGGCTCTCAAGAGCCTGAATCGATCACCTGTATTTCAGAGGAGAAGATTTTTAAATGTTAGCAAACTTGATGAACAAATTGTGTAAAATTGTCTTTAAAGGGCAATAACTCCTTAAGGGGTCAATTGACAATTTTGGTCATATTAACTTTTTTGTAGATCTTACTTTGCTGAACATTATTGCTGCTTACAGTTTATATATATCTATAATAATATTTAAAATAATAACAAAAAACTGCAAAATTTTGTTAAAACTACCAATTCGGTGGCAGCAACCCAACAATGGGTTGTTGGATTTGTCTGAAAATTTCAGAGCTGATAGATCTTGACCAATTGAACAAATTTACCCCCGTCAGATTTGCTCTAAAAGCTTTAGATTTTGAGATATAAGCCAAAACTGCATTTGACCCCTATGTTCTATTTTTAGCCATGGCGGCCATGTTTTTTGATGGATCAAAACTTCGGATACAATTTATAAACTAAATACCCTAAGGAACATTTAGTTAAAGTTTGAAGGTATTTGGCCCAGTAGTTTCAGAGGAGAAGATTTTTGAAATAGTTTACGACTACAGACAACGACAGACGACGGACGCCAAGTGATGGCATAAGCTCACATGGGGCCCTTTGGGCCCTGGTGAGCTAAAATTCAGCCCCTAATATCTATCAATTTGATCAACTGTTCAACTCATCAAATATTGTAATATTAGAAAAACTATGTAAATTTATCAAAGTTATTATTGCGAACCCAATGAAAGTTTTCCACAGTGCCATCTCTATCTTGACAAGGTATTTAAACTTTTGTAAGTTCACCTGTCCTATTGAATGAATACAATAGCTATTTTTCTCTGTGTAGTTTATTCACTGGGACCTTTAAATATCTTCTAAGAGAAATCTATCACTCATTGATTAATTTACCTGAGTAAAAAAAATTTCTTATATATAGACAAAAATATTTTTTTTATACTCGTTAACTGCGTGTGATTATGTATTATTCAATATGAATAATATATTTTCATTCAGTTTAATATAAACATTGATTCAATCATAAAAAGTGGATTTCAATCAAAAGTTTTATCAATGTTCCTATTGAAATTTGATTTTTTTTTGTCTAGTTATAGAGAACATTTAAGAAGATCCTAATTTGAACATTATAATTTTTAAGTTTTTATTCATGTCAGACAAATTTTTTTTTAAAAGGAACAATGTTGAAAGTTTTGTCGGAAATCAACTTTTTATGATTGAATCAATGTTTATATTAAACTGAATGAAAATATATTATTAATATATTATTAATATAACATAAATCAACGCTAACATGTTTAACCCCGCCACATTCTGTATGTATGCGCCTGTCCCAAGTCAGGAGCCTGTAATTCAGTGGTTGTCGTTTGTTTATGTGTTACATATTTGTTTTTCGTTCATTTTTTGTACATAAATTAGGCCATTAGTTTTCTCGTTTGAATTGTTTTACATTGTCATTTCCGGGCCTTTTATAGCTGACTGTGCGGTATGGGCTTTGCTCATTGTTGAATGCCATACGGTCACCTATAGTTCTTAATTTCTGTGTCATTTTGTCCCTTGTGGAGAGTTGTCTCATTGGCAATCATACCAAATCTTATTTTTTATATTTTATTAATGTTTCAACTTTGCATCACTGTTTACATTCAACAGATTGAAAATATATTATCATTTTGAATAAATATAACATCACATGCAGTTTTGAGTATATATGTATTTTCCTCTATTTACAAATTTTTTTTTTTACTGAGGTAAATTAATCAATAAGTGATAGATTTCTCTTAGAAGAAATTTAAAGGTCCCAGTGAAAAAACTACATGGAGAACAATAGCTATTGTATTCATTCAATAGGACAGGTGAACTTACAAAATTTTAAATACCTGGTCAAGATAGAGATGGCACTGTGGAAAACTTTCATTGGGTTCGCAATAATGTAAAAGTCAGTCCTTCAAGTTAATTTCATCGTATTGTTCACACATGCATGTAATAATTATACCTTATAGTTATATTTATGTATGTTCTCTATATAATTGTACTTTATGAGAAATAAAGTATTCATATTCATATGAAAGAAACACTTCTTCTATCAGTTATATAACCCATGTATAAGTTTGGTATTGCTATCACATCCCTTTATGACTAACTTGACTTTTTTTTTTGTTTGACCTAAAACTCTACACCCTTATGCATCTTAACTTTTCTTTTAACTTCTTAACAGCGAAGATGCTACCATTATGAAGGTATACACAGAAATGGAACTTGAATGGGTCCTTTTTTGATTTGTCAAAGATAGCAATGGGTTTCAATTTCACCAATGTCGAATCACAAAAATTTTAAAAAGATGTAAGACCGATATATACCATTTTGCAAGGTTTTGACAAAATTTTCATGAATAATCCAATTGGCTCTTGAAAACATATTATTGATCAGAGCAATTCAAAAAGAAATCTACAGTTTCCTCTACAAATTGGTTACCTTATTTTCAATGAGACTTCCCTGAATACCAATTGCATGTTTTAGTGGAACAGTCCTGAATGTGTTTTTATTCAACAGTGAAGTTGCTTTGAAACATGTCTTAGATGCTTTTTCAATGAATCATAAAAAGAACAAATCACCTTATATCAAAATTACAAACAATAAAATAAAAAATGCACATACTTTGAAATGATTGATCCAAAAGTCTGACTTGCTTTGCCTTAACCAACCCCATTGCCTTTCAATTCTCTGAAAAAGTTAAAATATTAATCACTGAAAATCTGATGAATTATAGCATTCTAACAGAAAATCCTGTAACAATGTTGTTAAGTACTACCTGGGTTCAATACATACAAAATTACCAAAAAATCAAAATAACTGACCAATAGCATATACTTTATTATTAACAGATATCCTAATGAAATATAGCAGAATTATAAATTTCTTCAATTAAAAAAATTGAGAAAAAATAGTCAGATAGCTTTTGTGAGTTTAAGAAATCAATCTGGATTTGCTTAGAATCAGTCAGTCAAAGACAAATTATGTAAACAGGTATATATACAAATTACACCTTAAATACCTGATTAAAAACTGAGGAGCCATAAATCACAGACTTCTCATTGGAAGTGTGAGTGACTTGAATAGCTGCTGCTAACCCATTTTCGGTACCAGGGTCACATCTGATCTTGGTTGGAAAAGCTGTAAAATACATTGTATCCTTTCAACTTCACGACAGTTTTTCTTTAAAATAATTATGCAAGGAATTGTTTGTATAAATTTCAGTTCTCACAAATTATAATGGAATGGCACATTTGCTGTGTTGTTCAGATCAGATGTACCGGTTTTTGTACTATCAAACTTCCTTGAACCAGTACGCTCTTATATGCAATTAAAGGTATGTTGAATTTTTCACCACAAGTCAGGGTAAGGTATAGTTATGACATGAAATGACTGCCACTTTATTTGAACTTACAAAGTAGCCATAAATGCTTAAAATTGCAGAATTTAACTGAGAGCAATAGTCTATAAATAAGTGGTCTTATACCTTAAACACAAGTTATTGTCTAATGAAATGCTTGGTTTTTTGGGACCTTTTTTTGACACTAATTCATCAACATTTGGGGCAATTACTCCAAAACTCCAGCCCACAATTCCCTTTGTATAAGAAAATCTTGTAATACAAGTTCAGAGAACCATACACTTACACACAAGTAATAGTCCTGAAACTACACAAATATAAAAAAGAAGATGTGGTATGATTGCCAATGAGACAACTCTCCACAAGAGACCAAATGACACAGAAATTAACAACTATAGGTCATCGCACGGCCTTCAACAATGAGCAAAGGCCCATACTGCATAGTCAGCTATAAAAAAACTGTTGGTACCATTACCCCTAAAATCAATCCCAAACCTTCCTTTTGTGGTATTGGACCTTCTAGCAAAATTCAGAGATCCATTCACTTAAAGTAAAGTTATTGTCTGGAAACCAAATGTGTCTTCGGACGAGGAAGACGACATCATAGCATTATACAAACGCAAATTTTTTGTGGTTGTATAATTACATGTATAACATTATTAATTGAATTCGCTGTACATAGGGACACTAATATCATTTTGTGTGTACTAAAAATATTAGAGCTCTTTCAAAAAATATTTTATATATTATGTTTAAACTTGCCAAAAATTCACTGTCAATAAGGGTTTCACTGCACAATTCAATTTTTTCTTATTGGCCTAATGCTAGAATATTCAAAGGATACTTACAGGATTCTTTCTAGATATTGACACTGACTTTTTTGGTCTGATAATTCAAAAAGAATAGCTAATACAAACTGTGATGTTAATAATCTTGTATTCATTGGTAAACATAAGTTCATACTGAAATGACCTTTTTAAAAGGTTCACTATTTGAGGACCAGATTAAAAAAAAAAGGTATAAATTGAAGTTATTGCCAACCTTTAATGTTATCAGCTGCTTTCAGGAAGAAATCAGCTACAACTTCTGGTCTTTTATTGGTAATACTGGCACACATCCATATAATTTTTCTTGAAAAACTGAATGGAAAATAGAATTAATACAAAGCATTTATTCTTGTATAGTTCATCATATGCAAAATCTGAATGTTGATTACTAAAAAAAGAGTCCTAAGTGTACACATTTGACAAGATTATGCTCTGTCGGTCATTGTTATTCTTGCACAGATTTCATAAGAATATTGTTTTAACAAAATTTAGGCACAAGAATATATACTGTTAATTACGTAAAAATATGTCAAGATCACAAAACTTTTATGATAGTTTTTTTTTTGTATTGTTATATTAATGGGAGTTATATCTGTTATTGTTTATAATTCTGCCAGAAACCATTTTCATTATGTGTACTTGAGTAAAAAGTAAATAAACAAAAACTGTGTCATGTTTATCATTACTATCATTTTGCGTCTATTACAAAAAATTAAATGTATAAGTGGAATAAATTGTTCTTCTTACCCATCTACACATCCATGTATACATATGCCAAAGGGCTTTAGTTTGTCATAACCATCTACAAAGTAATTTCATACTGTAAGTTATATAAAGAAGTGAAATAGTAGATGTATATCAAAGGTGCATGTAATTAGCTGTGAATGTTTGCTTCACATCAACCCATCAGACAAAAAAAAGTTATTTTGAAATATTCATCTGCTTTCTAGTATAACTTTCTTATTTGAATCAATTTTATTCATCAAGGCTTTTTGCAACAATGGTAACAGATTCATTAATAGGAACCGCATTCTTTTATTTTTATTATTTCTGTATTTCATGACACTTTCAGAGAATTCCAGAAATTATTGCATGGTTTTTATTAGTGTGAAAAATGTGACAGAGTGTTAAACGCAATAATTTGAACTCGCATTTTGACCTTTTTTTAAATGAATTAAACAGGATTTTTCTGAAAATCGTAAAAATTAAAATTGCATAGAAGTCTAAAACGAAAAAAATCACAATAATAAATGCACATAAAATAAATGGTACAAAGTTGCTTAAAATTAAACCAAAAATGACCCCAAAATATTTTTTTGGAAACAATGTATAGTTCTATATACAATATTTAGCGAAAAATCTCAAGTTGATGAATACTTATGGCCACACTCTGTATGTATCATGAGAATTAAATAATGAAATATAAAATTATGCTGCTTACCTAAGTGCCAAATATAGTTAGGACCCTGAAAAGAAATATGAACAGAAGTAAGTTGATGTAATTTGCAACTGGAATATTTCCGTATATTTTTGTTCATTTCATGTGGACTTAAAGGTCAGAATTTAATTTTCAAAGAGGACATTATACATACTTATGAACCGGTATCAAAAGTATTGTAGCCTTGAGTGCATGAAACTTCATAACTGTATGTGTAAAAACATTGAGGAATGATGTAGGGTTGAATGCAATAGTTGAAAACTGTAATGATTTTGATGACATAATTGAAACTGTAGGAATTGATCAAGGTACTGACTTTTCTTAGTAACCTGAAGATTTCAATTACACTGTATAATTTAAGAATTTACAACTATCAAATGACAGTAAATCTTTTTTTTTTTACTATCATGAAGAATTTGAAAAGTTTGAAGGAATGTACATGTTACAATGATGTAGGTTACTTAGTTACCCTCTTGCAGAATATATATGTATCAATACAAAAAATAATACTTACTTAACATGTACAACTAGAAATTATGGATGATGAAAAAAAAAACATTCAATATGACCTTTTTAATTTTTCTATTAAAAATGCATCAAACTTGTAAATACTATTAGTGTGCTAGTGACCAAATACATCATATATGGGGTCAGAAAATTCCATATGGGTGAAAGCATAATTTTGACAACACAAAGTTACCAAAAAAACTTGTTAGCTTTAAATGTGTTTTATGAATTTATTTCAATCGTTCATTTTTCATTTTTTCGTCTGTTGAAACCATTCATATTTTCACTCAACACTGTGTTGTTTTTATAAAGGGACATAACATCACTACTAACCTTGTATCAAAATAAGCCCGCCTACTAACCTAATATGAAATATTTTAACCATTCATATTCCTAGAAATGTATAGGAGGCAAGATGAGATTAAATAATGTTACTACAAACATGTATGTAGATCAGCTACAAATAAGAACTGAATTAAGTCCTTTTCTTCTTTAAATAACATACCTTGGATATGTATTGTCTTCTTCTTAATCTTCTACCTTTACGCCTTTTAATACCATCTGCATCTAAGATTCTAACAAGTTCTCTGGAAAGAGACCTAGAGAAAAAGTATCTATATAAATAATGTGCCAAAATGGTTTAGGATGCACGTGCAGAACCTTTTGATATCAAGGAGCCACAATGACCCATTAAAAAGTTTTTGGATCAAGGTTTGAAAATTATTATTAAAACTCCTAAACATGTTTGTAGTTGATGCCAACTGTTTATAGATCAACATTTAGTTACAAGATTGAATTACCTTGTTATTTGCAACTGGTATTTTATTTTCAAAGAACGACGTAAATTTTCACATCCATTACAACCATTCCTGATTTCTTTCTAAAATAACAAAACAAAATAAACAATTTTAAGAAAGGTAATATTGCCATGATCATATGATTATATCTAAATAGTGAAATTACAAAAAAATCAACACCTCTATAAAAGTTAAATTTTTTTCCTGTAACTTCAAAGAATTAAAAAAAGAAAAGACCTAGGTCAGCATGTGGCAGGAGTGTCATCAACAATGTACAAAATGTAGTAGGATGTAATGAGTTCAGTTTAAGAGTAACCACTAGATGTACATTGTACGTTAATGATTTTTGTTTGCAGTTCAGTGGTTCATTTTATATCTGTGGAGATTATTTGGAAATGTCCCTCTCAGGCATGGTTTATTTTAGAAATAATTCATGGCAGCCATAGATTTGTTCTCATTAAAACACAGGTTGGGTTTTTATATACAATTATTTTATGCCGAGCGATAGCCATGGTTAAAGAATTAAATTCCATGTATGTTTCATTATGATACCTTATTTTGATTGGCTAACAGCAATCTCGCGTCCTTCTGAAATTGACATTCATTACACAATGAAATGTAACATTCATGACACGAGGTCCCACAAAAAAATGCACAGGTAAATTAAAGAAAAACTTGATAGAAATCGTGTTTTCATGATCCTAGCTACAAAATGGAATAAGAAGTATTGAATTCTTCTTTTTGTAATTTTATAGGGTTGTAAAAGAATTTGACCGTGTGCAGATTTTTAGAATGAAGCGCACAAGCGCTTCATACAAAATGTACTTCGGTTAAAGCTTTTACGCCACGATGAATATGCAAAAAGAAGCATTCAATTCTTAAATGAAAATAAATCTATTACTGTATGTGTGGTAAGGGATTTATTTGATATCCCATATAAATATTAAAAAAGAAGATGTTGTATGATTGCCAATGAGACAACTCTGGGACAGTGGTGTAACAGTACAAAATAAGAACGATCTATAGACATCAGTTGAAAAAGACTTAACTCATCACATGGATATAGTATTTGTGATAACAAACAAATATATAATCATAAAATACTATCTCCTGTACAGCAGAAGTGAAAAATATCAATATTGAACTTTACATTGTCATCAATTACATCTTAAAATTTGAAAGGCACTGATTGGACTGTTGAGTTACTATTTGAATGGTTGAATCTGAAATCAGTATCAAGACATTTCCCTTAATCACAGTTAAAATAAATTATTTTAGAAATTCATTTTTTTTTTAATTTCTTAGAAAAAAAAACAAATACACCATTTTATGCTATCTTGAACTTGTCACATACCACTGCCAATGTAATTGCTGTATCAATGTTAATTCTGCAGTTTCTTCTCTTTAAACCTAACCTTGGGATGACTTTGTGCTGTAAATATTGGAAACTGGAAAAAATTGAAGTCAGGATAAAATATATAATCATATAAGGGATGAAAAAAACAGAACCTGCTTGTTAACTTCTGTTGGTATGTAGACAGGATGTTTTAAATTACATAAGTGAAATTCTGAATAACTTGAGTTATTTCATAAATTTATAGTGACTTTAAACAAACTCATTTTAAAAGAGTACCTCTCCCTGATAAACAGAGGAAAAAGCTCTCAGTGAGCTGAATTAATTTTTTCTGTTCTACCTTGAGCTTGGAAGCATCATGGTACCCTTGGTGCTGTCTATGATTATTTTATAAAAGAATGTATAGGGGCCATGGTGATATATTTTTTTTTTAAATAGTGCTATATTAGTTTCTATATTCCATGGTGCTATGTGAAAGTTAGAAGTGAGTTTTTGAAGCTTCTATGATTTATCTTGTTGATCTTTTTGTAAAAAAATTTATTGCTATTGCAGGGATGGAAATTAACACTTTTTCATTCACTTAGTTAATTAAAATAAGTATTGTTTTTTTTAAGTTTTTTGTCCCCAGTAGACCTTTTAAAGTGGTGAACTTCATTATTTACCTAAATTTCAGTAAAGAGACATTCATCTCATTAAATGTTATATATAAATCAAAGTAATGGTGCAATAAAAAGTAAGTGATTTAGAAAGCAAAAATGAAAATGACTGTCATACTGACAGACAGGCCTAATCCTAATCCCCCTCTGTATAGCATTTTCAACATTTATACTTACTTTTCTTGAAGTGTAAACACGCAGTTGTGTGTATAATTTAAGCGATGTGTGTATATTTGTAAATCCTTGTCATTTTACATTTACACTTTACTTATACCAATATCTTAGATTACATTTATAAATGCATATGAGTGTTTAAGAGAAAAATTTATGGTAACAAAATTGCCACATGTTTTGCAGGCATCATGGTAATTTTCTAATATGATTGAGGTAATAATATATATACTTTTTCACTTTTTTGGTCTTTTTAAAAATGTTGTTTGTGCTGTATTTAGCCCCTCTATCAAGAAATTTGTTTTGCATGCACACGTATAAAAATTGTGATATGTATATCCTCATTCTCACATATGCCATACAAACAATTACTAAATTTAGAACTAAAAAACATTGTAATCTTATTTGTAATCTGTATGTATTAAAGTGTGTGTTCCCTTTCTTGTCAACCATGATCCAACAAGTGAAACTGTGAGCTATTGCTCACTGGTGATACCCCTGCTGCATCTGGATACTATTAATAGTGTAAAAATATGTAAGTGTTTGGGAAGGAAGCTGTTTAGTGTTGAATCTGAAAATGCATCGCACAATATAGCTGACTTATATAAAACCTGAAACCAAATGTCAGAAATCCTTGTATTGCAGTGTCTGAGAAAAATGCGACAAAATATATTCATGGGACAGATGGACAGACTGATGGAAAGACAGAGGTAAAACAGTATACCCCCACTGTTTTAAAGCGGGGTATAATAATTAGGACAAATTAATATTTTACAGCAATATACCTAATCTGAAAGTTCTTTTCTTTTTCCAGGATGTAGTGTATCAGTCTGTAAGGATATCCTACATAAAACATTTCACTTATCAACTGCTTTATTTCTGAAATTTTATTGCATTTTATATAAAAACAATAAACACAGAATTCAAATCTCATTCATAATAAATTAAAGTTAGGAATTATAAATATTCTTTCTTCTAATATATATGCTAATTATATATATTCAATTATTCACTATTGAATCATCTTTTTACAGTCAGTGATACTACTTGCACAAATTAATTTTATTTACCTGTATAGGTAATTAATAATATACCTTTATAAGTAAATTGTTATTTTCATATTTTCTTTGTGGTTTGAATAATCTCCCCTTAATTTTCTCAAAAAATTTACATGTACAAGTATTTTTTTACATCCATAAAATTCTCAAGTTTTGGGATGTAAAAACATGTCAGACTTAAACAATTTTTCTCTGGTTAGCTTATAATTTTTTAATAGAGTTCAATGTTACATCTCATTAATTTAACAAAGAAACTAATTGTGAAAAGATCTAATCAATTCTGCAAGGCAACTAAGCTAATAATTTACCTATACAAGTAAATAAAATACATTTGTCTAAGAATCTTAAAAATCTACTTATATAAGTATATTAATATTTACTTCTTCAAGTAAATAAAAATAACCTGTACAAGCAGTACCCCTGACTGTTTAATGTGACCTCCATGATAAAACCCAAAAAATAGGGATCTCTGGTGGTGAATATAAAACGGGTAAGGTCAGCTGAACAAAACAACTTTATGAAATAATTTCTGAAAATCAACCACCTTACACTACTCATTCACTTTCTGAACAAAACTTTGTGTATCAATACAGTTATACTTCAAATCTTATAGAAAAGTTAATATAATATTATATAGTTATTTTTGTTACATGAATTAAAGGAAGAGAACTTTTTTCTTGAAATTAATTCCAGATCAAACTGTATTAACTTTAGAGAAAAACTGTTTTGAAAACAATGTCTTGTGGGTAATATCCATAACTTATTGTATAGTAAAACATCAGTTTTCAATGCATAGTTTGAACAGAAACTTAAAAACATCTATTAAAATCAAATATATATATGTAACACTAACCATCAGGTATCATTTTGAGTTAATCAGGTATTACATGTATATAGATAGACAACCTGAAAAGAAAAAAGAACTAGAAAGATAGACTTTGACATTTCCTATTATCACTGTGATAATGATTATGTATTCTGTAAGATGCTACAACTAATAGCATACTAATGAGTATACTGATGTGTATCACTACTAATAGTTATAACGGTAAGGTTAAATTCCCTATCATTCATTCATCCATGCACGAACTTGTCTCAGATTTTTTTTTATGAAATTACCTTTACCTAACTTTCAGGTATAGATAGGAGATGTTATTTTTTTTGTGCTTGTCACTATCCAAAAGAACTTGTGGTAATAGGATATTCAGTACATCAGTACTTTGATTTAATATTTGTGTTGTTTTAGAATTTTTATGCATACATGTATACACTATTTATTTATTACTGTACTGTTTTGTTTTCCATTACCATCTAGCACCTCCAAACTGTCATAGGTAATTGGTTGACTAATATCTTAATGTTTTAAAATAAACAAGAAACATGGGACAACTTTACAAATGACATCCTTCTTTAGAGAATTAACTCTGACATGGTTAATCAGAACTAAAACAATAATTTATATATTTATGACATAAGCTAATTAACTATACATTTAACTATAGGTACCAGTAAAATTACCTGAACATCAATATAGCTGGAATGGAGACATATAAAAGCAAAGTTTTATCTGGAAATAATTTTTCTTCAATAAAATATCCGACACACGAGAAAATTATAGAAAACATGAAACTTATAGCACGTAGATTTTTTTAATTTGTCAGTCATTAATGACTTATATGTAATGCTATTGTTTCTTAATTTAAATTGGTGGCTGTGCAAAATACATGTACTTCATATACATGTACATTTTTACTTCATAATTGTTTAATTTTGATGAAAACCCAAATTCATGAAGCTGATCAGTACATTGTAGCTGCATTTTGGAGATGCAATAACCAAAGCTGTACTGTTGCATGATTTAGAAAAGAGGGGCGAAAGATACCAGAGGGACAGTCAAACTTAAAAATGGGTCTTAATATCTTTTAAAAGGGTTTTAGATTTTTCCTATGTTAACAGTCTGTTACATAGCATTCAACAGAAATGTACCCCAAATGGAGGATCTCATGATATTTTACTGAAAGCTTAAGGTTTATGCAAGTTGTCTTTCCTAATGAAAATCAAAAGATGGAAAATGCAGTATGATTTTTTTTCTATTTTTCTATTGCAGTTCATGGACTTTACATATCTGAAACAATAGTGTAACATCACAACATAGAAAGACATATAGTTTCTGATTTTGGAATACTCAAAAGTTGTTGAATCCAATCTAGCAGATGAAAAATAAAATGATAGAATGCAGTCTAGTCGCTTGTCACTGAAAATTGATGATATTTATCAATGTTTGTGATTCAAGGAACTCAATGTCTGAGACGATCATAGATTCATAACTGTAAACGGTCTGTTTATAATTATATTTACAAAAATCTGTATAATTAGCTATTTTTTCAATTTTTTTTTAATCACTAAATTTTGTTAAATCCTCTTCTTATGCACTGCCTACCTACAATGGTTTCTTCCCATTGGTAGTAAATGAAATAATTAAGTCTCAAGTGTTTATTCTATACAATTTACTCAAATGCTGAAAACTGTCCACTGGCAGGAAGTTTTACATAGCATTCAACAGAAATGTACCCCAAATGGAGGATCTCATGATATTTTACTGAAAGCTTAAGGTTTATGCAAGTTGTCTTTCCTAATGAAAATCAAAAGATGGAAAATGCAGTATGATTTTTTTTCTATTTTTCTATTGCAGTTCATGGACTTTACATATCTGAAACAATAGTGTAACATCACAACATAGAAAGACATATAGTTTCTGATTTTGGAATACTCAAAAGTTGTTGAATCCAATCTAGCAGATGGCTCCAAAGTTATTGTGAAACTGCCTATTCTAGAGGTGGCGTGAATCAGATGTGGATACTAAAAAATTCCAAAGATCTTTTAGAGTACATACAATCTAAGACTCTCTCATCTTGCAATAGTATTAAAACATTTGACTTTTCTACACTTTACACAAGTATTCCCCATTCCAAACTAAAAGACAAATAGAAAGAGTTGGTATTACTTTGTTTCATTAAAAAGAATGGCGAACATAGATACAAGTATCTTGTCTTGGGGAGGGATAAATCCTACTTTGTAAAGAATCACTCTGATTCAAACAAAAAATTCTCTGAAACTGACAACATATTTGTTACGTTTGGAGGACGTGTTTTTCAACAGACTGTCGGAATTCTAATGGGAACCAATTGTGCCCCTCTTCTTGCGGACTTGTTTCTTTATTATTATGAGGCTGACTTCATACAGGAGCTTCTTAGGAAGAGAGATAAGAAGTTAGCAATATCCTTTAACTCTACGTTCCGCTATATAGATGATGTTCTCTCACTAAATAATACAAAATTTGGTGACTATGTTGAACGAATCTATCCCATCGAACTAGAGATAAAGGATACTACAGATACAGTTAAATCTGCCTCATATCTTGACTTACATCTAGAAATTGACAATGAGGGGCGGTTGAAAACAAAACTTTACGACAAAAGAGATGATTTCAGCTTCCCAATTGTGAACTTTCCATTTCTATGTAGCAACATTCCAGCAGCGCCTGCATACGGAGTATATATCTCCCAATTGATACGATATTCCCGGGCTTGTGTTTCCTATCATGATTTCCTTGATAGAGGATTGCTGCTCACAAGGAAGCTATTAAACCAAGAGTTCCAAGTGGTGAAGTTGAAGTCATCCCTTCGTAAATTTTACGGACGCCATCACGAGTTGGTTGACCGTTATGGAATAACCGTTTCACAGATGATATCGGATATGTTCCTTATGTCGTAACTACAATACCCTTCCCTTTTCACGAATGTGACTTACCGAATTAGACTATTTACCGGATTTGTAATAACATAAGCAACTCAACAGGTGCCACATGTGGAGCAGGATCTGCTTACCCTTTCGGAGCACCTGAGATCACCCCCAGTTTTTGGTGGGGTTCGTGTTGCTTAGTCTTTAGTTTTCTATGTTATGTCATCTGTACTATTATTCGTTCTGTTTGTCTTTTTATTTTTGGCCATGACGTTGTCAGTTTGTTTTCGATCTATGAGTTTGACTGTTCCTCTGGTATCTTTCGTCCCTCTTTTAAGATTAAGAAGATACCATGTTTAAAACAAAAGGGAGTTCACTTCAATAGATATAAACAATTCAACAAAGATTCATGCGAATTGTTTAAAGCATTTTTGAGTTATTGTCCAACATGTTGATGACTGACGGATGGACAGAAGGACAACTGTATACCATAATACCTACCGTAAACGGGCGTATAAAAAAATAAAGAAAAGAACATTGAAATAGAGAATATAGAATAATGGAGTGTTGTATTGAGTGATTGAAAAATAATGGGGAAAAATATGAAGAATACAGAAAAAATGACCTAAAATTTTGAACAATACAGAAATGAAAGACCCCAAAACCGTATCCAGACTTTTGTATAAAATAAGGAGATGTGGTATGATTGCCAATAGAAACAACTACCAGTAGCTGACAGAATCCAAATGACTAGGGTGTAAGCAACTATAGGTCACCATACAACCTTCAAAAATGAGCAAAACCCATACTGTAGTCAGTTATAATTGGCTAAAAAGATGACCAAATGTGTGTCCATGCAAACAAAAAAAAAAATGCCCTAATTTAAGACAACACAATAAATGAAAATCAAATTTATAGGCTCCTGACTTAAGAGTATGCATTTATAGAATATGGTGGGATTAGTGAATTTACACATGATTGTTATTGTGCATGTTTTAATTAATTTACCTTAATTGATACTTTGTTACCTTCAGCTGTATATTACAAATGTATTATACATGTACCATTTAACATCAAAGTCAAGATCATATAAACTATACCACAAAATCATTAAACCAGACCAAAATTCTAATTATAACTTGATCTGTAACTTGACATGATATAACTACATACCAATCAAAGGGGCCCCCTTTAAGTGATACTTGTAAAAACTCTGCCTTTATCATAAATGAAGCTCCTTAAAAAGGGCCAAAAAAACCTTTAAATTGTTATGCTGTCTATAAGACACAAACGATACCCCTGCCTGACCATAGGAACTTATAAATTTTACAATATATATGATGATTTAACTGTAGCACAGTAGGAGGAGATATCTGGACAATCACAGTGGCAGATCCAGAAATTTTCATAAGGGGGGCCTACTGACTGCCTAAGTGGGGGTCCGTTTTCAGTCATGCTTCAGTGATTCCCTATATAATCAACCACCAAAAAGGGGGGGGGGGGTCCGGGCCCCCTGAAAAAAAACTCTAAATCTGCCTCTGAACCAAGATCTCTATTTGCAGCTGTAGTACCAAGAAAATTACCAAGTCCAACTTAGGCAACTACAGCTGTGATCAGCTATATAATTGTCACAATATTTGGAAGAAATCAAAATCCTGTGGCCATGCACTTCTTCTTCTTCTTATGGTATCCAGTTATCCATCAGATTTTGATGATTACTAACTGCACACCTTTATTATTTGTATGAACATCCTACAAAATATTAAAGTTGTACCTCCAAAACTGTAGGAGATAGCCGGACAAACAATGCATCTTACGGACGAACAGACGGACGGACAGGGGTAAATTTATACCCCACCCCTATTTTGTCACGGGGGCTTAAACATCATACAGACGCTTACGCACACACTTAAAGATATACATACATACTATATAGTCTGCATGTGCTTGCGTGTTTGAGGTTTTCAGTTGTCTTTTCAACAATAACACCTATCTATCTATCTCAACCTTTCTTGGTGTAATGAACCAGAATATGCAAATCTAGAGAGTTTCGAATGTATTTCTCGGTTCCGCGTCTGCATTTGATGTAAGTCTTTGCATTTTTATATTTCCCCGCAGATTATATAATCATAATATTCGGGTCCCGGAGATTATTTTTGGTTTGGTTTATAAAAGCCGAAGATTTTATTATTGAAAATAATCTGCGGGCTCTTGATTAAAAGCCGAAGATTTTACAATTGATAATAATCGGCGGGGGTCAGACTTTTAAAAGCCGA